TATATATATATATATCAAAGATATAAGCTCATCTTGAATACACACACGAACAAAACAAGATGACACTGGATATAATCTCAGATTATACTCAGTGATCTCTGGATTATACTCATTGTAATCTGGATTATACTAGCTACTATCTGAAATTTTTTATGAAAAATTGATGTGGGTACTCAAATGAAAGGTCTTGAGTGTAACCTCAAGATGAGCTTATATCTTTAAAAATGTCAATAGTTAACGAGATACAAGGTCATTTCTTAATTATCAACCTTAATTATAATATAGATTATTTCTCTTTCAGCGGAGCAAGTCACTCTGCGTTCGGCGACATGAAAGTAATCACCCAGGAGTCAACAAACACTCGCAAGGAATCAAAGTTCTCTTTGCGAGACGAGCCAGAAACAGAAGCGCCCTCTGTGAGGATCGTCAACGATTTAGATGATTTTTTCTCGGCGATAAGCACGCCGTACTCCTCAAAGTCTTCCTACAAGTCGACCGAGGAGGTCGTTGTGATCAGCGAGCCGGAGCCACCGAAAAGAGGTCCAAGGGTCAAGCCGGAGGTCAAGCACTTGGCCAGTGGGGACGGAGAAGCCCAAAGAAAATTCGGGGAAGCTAAAGCCATTAGCTCGGACCAGTATTTCCGCGATGGTAACAACGACGATGCGGTAATTATGCTCTCAATTCTTCAAATTACATTTTTTTTTCAACGAGACCTTCGGAATTGTGTTCGGGGCCGTGAGACGCGTAAAATGAGTACCCACAAGCCTATATTTGGCCCGGGTGCGCACACAGCACACACACAGCGCACACGACGCACACGACGCACACAAACAAAACATAGGCTTGTGGGTACTCATTCTACGCGAAATTTCATCAGGAGTAAGAATCCGGGCGTTAAATTTTAATAAAATAATTACAGTGGGAACGCAAGAGCAATTTAAGGAGATTCGAGGGTTCCTCGTCGATCTCTTCCTCCGATTATTTTGGGAGCAATCAAACTTCTCCGACTGGCTCGTACTCCCCGGGGTCACTTTCAATGAGCAGCATCGCCGCTAGAACCGGCTCCGTTGATCTTGAGGATGTTCGCGAGTCAGTGCGTCAAGGTGTGAACAAAGTTGCTGGAAAAATTAGTTCTCTGGCTAATGCAGCGGTAAATTCACTACAGGATCGTTATTTTTAATAATAAATTAATTTATCCTGTAATTAATTATAAATTAATTGATTGTTAATCTTTTTACAGTAAATATTTGTTATTTGCCTTAAAGTTATTATTTGTAAGGTTCTATTGAGTAATAAAAATTATCGCTATTAATATTATTTATTTTTTATGATTTTAGAATGTTTGGTGTGGCGTGAGAAGGTTTTGGAACCTTGAGAGAAGATTTGAAGATTCTAGAATGATTGGATGAAGAGAAATTGAGAATTTTAAAGTTCTAGAATGCTTGAATGAATTTTTAATATGGTTCTAAGTATTCTAGAAATATTTTATGGGTTGAATTGAAGTCTTGGAACTTCTAGAAAAATTTTGAAACTGGTTTGGAAGTTCTAGAGTTATCAGAAGCCGAGAAATTGATATTTTGAAAGTTCTAGAATGTTTAATAGGTTCCAGGAACGGTTCCAAGAACTTAGAATGCTTTTTTTATATTGGAACAAGATTTTAGACCTTTTATAATGTTCCTAGAACTGATTTGGAACTTCTAGAATCTTTAAATAGGGCAAACTTAACGATTTTGAAGTTCTAGAAGGTTCCAGGAACGGTTCTAAGAACTTAGAATGATTCTTTAGATTGGAACAAAAATGCGGAACCTTTAAATAGTTCTTAGAAATGATTTGGAACCTCTGGAAACTTCAGATGATGTAAAATTCAACTATTTTTAAGTTCTGGAATGTTCCACAGGTTCCAGAAACAGTACCAAGAACTAAGATTGCTTTTTTAGATTGAAACAAGACTTAAGAACCTTAAGAAGGTTCTTAGAACTGATTTTAAATATCTAGGAACTGCAAATAGTACAAATTCGACGATTTTTGACTTATAGAATATTCAAAAGGTTCCAGGAGCGGTTCCAAGAACTTATTATGTTTTTTTAGATTGGAACAAGAATGCGGAACCTTTAATAAGTTCTTAGAACTGATTTGGAACCTCTAAAAACTTCAGATAATGTAAAATTCAGCGATTTTGAAGTTATAGAATGTTCAGAAGATTCCAGGAATGATTCTAAGAACTTAGAATGCTTCTTTAGATTAAAAAAAGTATGAGGAACCTTTAGAAGGTTCTTAGAACTGATTTAAATGGTTCTTAGAACTGATTTAGAACTTCTAGAATTTTTAGTAAGTGAAAATTCAATTATTTTGAAGTTCTAGAATGTTCAAAAGGTTCCAGGAACGGTTCCAAGAACTTTTAAAGTGTTTTATGAGTTAAATTAATATTTTTGGAACAATAATAAGCCTTAAGTAACTGTATTAGACTCCCTAGAATATTTAGTTCCATTAAAATTAATGTTCTTAAGACTCTAGAATGTTTAAAAGAGTTCCAGAAACGGTTCTGAGAACTTAGACTGCTTCTTTAGATTGGAACAAGACTGTGGAACCTTTAGAAAGTTCCTAGAACTGATTTGGAATCTCTAGGAACTTCAGATAGTCCAAATTCAACCATTTTGAAGTTCTAGAATGTTTCAAAGTGTTCCAGGAACATTAAAAAAATGTTTTTTTCAGCATTTTGGTATTTTAAGGATCATAAAAAGATTTTAGAGCCATTTAGAGGTTCTAAAATATTTAGAACTCCTAAATTTTGAATTTTTGGAGTTCTAGAATGTTCAAAAATTTTTTATTTATCAATCTTATAATTTAGATAATTCTAAAATAAGATATATTAATTTAATAATTCAAACTTGAGTGGAATATGTGAGTTTCTGTTGGTTTTTTTCTTCATCCTGGAACAAATCATTTTTTTAATGAATTTTTGATATGAAAAATAATTAATTTAATTAATTATTTATACCTCAAAGTACGAATAAACTCTTCAATATTTCTCAACTCTGGCAAGGTTTCTTCACACCAGGTAAATGATTGCCATGAATTATCTCTATTCATTATTCCGTCGCAATTTTGATAATTAACTCCCAGTCTAATAATTAAAATTTTTTTAAATTAATTAATTATTAATTTTTTTTTGAAGGTATAAACTTACGAATGAGCGATTTCGCGAGCACCGAGATCGTAATTAAGCAGTAAAGGCGAGTAACTTATTACTGCAATGTTGAATTTATCGTTTGATGGACGCACGCCTGATAATAGAAGCGTGTACCCTGAAAATTTTTATATCAATTTTTGAAGAATTAGACGAAGTTAGTGAGGAAGTATTTTTTTATTACCTTTAATATCGCAGTCGGCAGCTACAGCACGTAAGCATATATCTGCCCTAAAAAATTATGGAATATAAAGGTAAGTTTTTTTTTTTTAAATTTATGGGAATTTCTAAGGAAATTTTAATTTTTTAATTAATTAATTTTTTAAATTAATTAATTATAATTAAATTTTTTTTTAATTAATTTTGAGATACTTAAAAAAATTTAATTTCCTACAAAAAAGGTCTTTATCCGCGAATTAATTATCCCAACCATTTAAAAGTTAGTCAAAATTAATTAAAAAAATTATTAAATCAAAAATTTTACGTTGTCATAGCCACTTGAATATCAACATTGTCTCTAACAGAAACTCTGTTCTTTAAAAAATAATTATTCATGGATCTATGGATCCCGAGCAATGTATAAGTCATTGAGTCTTCATTCGAAAACAATACACCAGTAGTCTAAAAAATAATCATTTAAATATTAACAAAAAAAAATTAGTTAAAAAATATTTTTTTTAAATCTTACCTCAGCAAAATTAATTTTCTTTATTTTTATATTAAAATTTTTATTCAACCCCGAAAATAACATTGCTACTGCATTCCAGTACATTAAAATGTTCATTATTTTTACATCAGTCTTTAAAACTTTTCTAAAAATTAATTCAAAAATTTTTTTTAACATATATATTTTTTTAATATAAAATATATTATTTTTATTTACTTGTTCTTTGAATAATCGACATTAATATTCAAATTAATAGACATTCCACTTTTAATTCCATTCACTTCTTTTGCTTCCAACAAATTATCATAATAAATTTCTAAAAAAAAATATAATTAAAAAAAATAAATAAATATGAAAAAAAAAATATTTTTACCTTCATAAGTATCCGCTGTATTTTTTAATTCAAGTAGTATATGCTTCCCGTTGTTAATATTCCGGACATGATACTTGTTAAAAATAATTCCATTCTAAAAATTGAAGATTTAAAAAAATATTTTTATATATTCTTATCCTTAGAACTTACCACAGTTAAATTTTTTGATATCAAAAGTGACGTTTTAGTTTCATAATCATGAACCGAGTGCAAGTGTCTAAATTCACTATAATCCTAAAATAAAACTAATTAATAAAAAAAAATAATTATTAATAATAATCAAAAATTCACCTCGCAATTATTATTAGTAACAAGCAAAATTCTCTTTCCATCTTTCACCAAATGTCTAACATCAAATTCTTTAGACACAATCGACTCAATTTTTTCTTCATTATAATTAAACTCGAAATCATAGTACTGAACATTATAGAACTGGTTGATCTTCAACCAGAACCTTCCTTTTCCCAAATTCTCAAAATCAACCTTGATATCTTTACAATCTCTCACTAAAAAAACCAATTTTTTTTTTTTTTTTAACTTCTAACTCCCCCCTTAATGCTCTGACCGCTTCAAACTTGGACATTTTAGCATCAATATTTCCTCCTCTACAAAAAAGGTCCTGAGGTTAATCACCATAACTCTAATAGTTTGTGAGTTACAGCTCAATTAATTACTCCCCGGGCTGGAATCACCAGTTTACCAACTTACCTTGATTAATAGCGCTGTAACTCGGAAACTATTCGAGTTATGATGATTAACTTCAGGACCTTTTTTGTAGAGGAGGAAATTTCCTTCCAGATAAGCTTTAGGTCGAGAAAATATTCAAAAGTAGTTACAGAGATAATGGCGGTTAATTAGAAATTAGTCTTACTTTCTTCGGGATTTATCCCGAATTTTTGATAGTTTTCTTGTGTACACTCAGTAATTATTTCTTCCGGTGCATGAAAACTGTAAGAGTGAACAGAGACCAAAAGGAAATTAAAGAAAATTAATTTTAAAGCCATTGAATTTTTTTAAAAAATTTTGGTAGTAGTTTTAAGACTACGGGGTTTTAACAATTAAAGTTATCTGGGTAATTCTAAGGTATTAATAGTTTGTGATAAAGAATTTAGAGATATCTGATGAAATCATTAAAATTATTTTTAGTGATGATGGATTATTTACTAAGATTAATTTTATTTTGTAAAAATTAAAGTAATTAATTTAGTTTATTAAAAAAGTATAAGGACCTTATAGAAAATTTAATTTTCTATAAAAAAAAAAAATTCAATAGTTAAATTTTATTGTAAAATTATATTTTGATTATCAAAATATTTTTTTTAGAATATTTTAATTTTTAGTAATAATAATTATTTTTGCTTGCGCTGACCCATTTTTTGCGACGTTCATCATAGGTTTCTGAAAAAAAAAAAAATTTTTTTTTAATAAAAAAAAAAATTAAAAAAAATAAATTTTTTTTTACATACCCCGAATTTTTTTAGTATCCAAAAGTCTCGCTGTCATAACATTAATATTCGAAATATAATTAAGCAGGAGGTAAGAAATGGACCCAATAGAAATCAAAGTTATCAGCGTGGTAAATAAAAAAATAAAATATTTTCTTCTGTCGTCCATTTTGTCTTAGACTCAACTATCAACCAAAATAAATTCAATTACTATTTTATCTATAAAAGTCATTAACCTAATTACAGCCAACTCATCAAATTTCTTAATCTCAATTATTTAAAAATTTAAAATTTCAAATTTCCCGCTTAAGCGCGCCATTTCAATTCTAACCGCCATCTTGTCGTGGTCACGTACCGACAGTACAATCTTAGAAAATAGATTTTTTAGATTAGTTATTAACAATTATTAAAAAAAAAAAAATTATATCAATACTCAGCAAGTTTCCCTCTTTTAGAATTTCAAAAAATATTTTGAAAATTCCGACCCACCCCCTCTCCTCCCACCGCCCGCCATTTGTTTTTATTTCAGGCGATCTTGTTGATGACACCAATTTAGAGTTTTTTATGTAATTAAATTTATTTTGTTGGGGATAATAATTAAATAGTGTTATTATTATTATTATTATTGTAGTTAGATATATGTAGGGTTTTATCAACCGGGCGGTTTCTGATATTTTATTTATCAAAGTTATTAAATAAGAGCTGCAAAATTTTAATAAGGTCAGAATAAATTTTTCAGTGGATTGTTTTTGTTGTAAACAATACACCATTATTCTTTTGTGGAAAATAACGGAGTGAGTCATAAATTCTGGAATTTAATAATTTATTTATTTATTAATAAATATTTTTAGAATAAAGTGTTAAATTTAATTTTAAAAAAATAAATTAAAGAAAAAGTGAAAATTAAAAAAAATAAAATTTATTTTTTTACTTTTGATACTTTTGATACTTTTGATAGTCTGTAAGGACATTTTTTGTTCAGAATTAAATTTCCTATAAAGTTTTTTATTCTTAGTTTTATTACTCCTAAACGGCTGGTCTAATTAATTCGCGGATAAGGACCTTTTTTGTAGCTAATAAAATTTCCTATAAAATTCTAAAAAGAAATTATTAAAAAGTTGAAATTTTTTAATTCGCGGTTTTTGTAACTTTTTAATCTTTACTCCAATTAATTTTTAGACCTTTTTTGTAAAAAATTAAATTTACATTTAATTTTTTTAGGAAAAATGCGTCTAGTAATTTGCGATACAGTCGACTATGTGTCAGAGTGGTCCGCCAAGTATGTAATGAAGCGTATCCATGACTTTCAACCTAATGAGAACAAGTACTTCGTTTTGGGTTTGCCTACAGGTAAAAAAAATTCTTAAAAAATTTTTTTTCATCAAAAAAATTAATCAATTAAAAGAAAATTATTAAAACAAATCTATATATTAAAGTAACTGATTAAACGAATTAATTAAAAAAATTAATTTAACAAATTAATTAAAAAAGTTAATTAGAAAAATTAACTTTGAAAAAATTAATTAAAAAAAGTTAATTTTAAAAAATTAATAAATTAAATAATTAATTTCAGGAGGAACTCCTTTAGGAATGTATAAAAAATTAATTGAGTTTTATAAAAAAGGCAAGTTGTCATTTAAATACGTAAAGACTTTCAACATGGACGAGTACGTGAACCTACCAAGCAGCCACTCGGAGTCTTACCATTATTACATGTACCACAACTTCTTCAAGCACATCGACATCGAGCCTTCAAACGCGCATATTTTAGACGGCAACGCCGCGGACTTGGAGCTAGAGTGCCACAACTTCGAGAAGAAGATCCAGGAAGCGGGAGGCGTGGACCTCTTCATCGGAGGAATCGGCCCGGACGGGCACATTGCATTCAACGAGCCCGGCTCGTCGCTGGCTTCTCGCACCAGAGTCAAGTCCCTGGCCCAGGACACGCTCGAGGCGAACAAGCGCTTCTTCGACAACGACATCGAGAAGGTACCCAAGCAGGCGCTCACTGTCGGAGTCGGCACTGTCATGGACGCCAAAGAGGTCATGATCCTCATCACCGGGTCACATAAAGCCTTTGCGCTCTACAAGGCCATTGAGGAGGGCATTAATCACATGTGGACTGTCTCTGCCTTCCAGCAACACCCACACGCGCTTTTTATCTGCGACGAGGACGCCACGCTAGAGCTTCGCGTTAAGACGGTCAAGTACTTCAAGGCTCTCAGTGATGTTCACCGGAAGTTGATTGAAGACTAAGCTGTAATGCTGGGGGTTGTTTTTTTTTATCAAGAAATATATTTTTCTTACGTATAAGTCTGAGGTTTCTTTCCTTCTGGAGACCTTTTCCTTTTGATATTTTCAAAGATATAAACTCATCATGATGTTACACTCATCAAGAGCTTTCATTTGAGTACCCACACGGAAAAAACAAAATGACACTGGATATAATCTCAGATTATACTCATTGTAATCTGGATTATACTAGCTACTATCTGAAATTGATATGGGTACTTAAATTAAAGGTCTTGATGAGTGTAACATCAGGATGAGGTTATATCTTTAAAAATGTCAATAGTTCACGTGATACAAGGTAATTTCTTAATTATGTATCTAGAAATAGAGCATTTTTTAAAAAATTCTAATTTTTAAATCCGCAGATTTTCCATTTTTAAATTGAAATTTTTTTAAACCTAAAAAACAGAGTTAATATTTAGAAAAAAAAATATTTTTCTATCGAAAAAAATTTTTTTATTGTGACGGTAACAAATATATCACGCTACAAGTACACTCTTATCAATTATCATTAATATTAATATCCGAAAAAAAAAAAAAGTTTAAATAAAATAATTTATGAAAAATAAATAGAAAAGTAAAACAGAAAAAAGTTACACCTCCTTATTATCATTAGTATCAGTCTGGACAGTTTTATTGTCCTGAATTACTGTGCTGGCAGTCGTACTACTGCTGTCCAAAGAACCGTAACTGTTAGCAATGTTAACTAATTCGCGAAGTACATTATTCTCTGCTTTTAATTTAGAAAGATTTTCTTTGTACTTGAGCTCACATTCTTCGTCTAGATTAGCCGCTACTCGCATTACTGCAGCCATCTCATTTATTTTCTCAGCCTGGTTGGTAATTATCTGAAAAATAAAATAGCTGACCTTTAAAAAATTTTAAGAATATTAAAAATAATTTTTTTGTTCTAATTTAATTATTAAAAAATTTCAAAATCAATTTAAAAATATTTAAAAAAATTACTTACATTAGCGTATCTCGCATTATAAATAGAAGACAAGTTAATTTTATTAGATTTAATCAGAGACGCAGTATGCTGGCGATATTTAGACATAATCAGCTCAATAGTATTCTGATGTTCCTCCAAAGCATTCCTGAGCTCTTTGTTCTCCGCCTGGAGCTCTCGGAGGTGCTTAGTCTCCTGCTGGATCCCCGCAATCAAAGCGTCTCTAGGCTGCTGCTTAGCTTCATTATTCAGCACCTCAATTTCCTCTTGGTACTGCTTCATGTTGTCAATTTGATTACACACACTCTGAATTTCTGTTATTAAATTGTCAGCTGTGTTTTCATGGTCTGATATTCTACCGACTAATTTTTTAGCGTCGCAAATTATTTGTTGGACTGTCAGTGACATTTTTTCTATTTTTTAAATAATTATTCTTAATCAATAAATTAATTTAATAAATTTTATTATAAATATTTACTTACATTCTTTAATCCGAGGTTATGTTTGTAATAAGTAATAATAATAATTTTTTAACATCTGACAGCGACAAAAGCGCCGTGGAAAAAATTGTAACTTTGTAACTAAAAATTTTTATTTAAAAAACAATTTTATTATTATTAATTATATTATTTTTATTAAATTAATTATATTAATTAATTAATTAATTAATTAATTTAATTTTTATTATGAATTTTTATTTGACATTTAAATTTTACCGCGGTTTTAGCTTGCGCGCATGCGCAGGAGTAAAAAAAGATGACGTGATAAATATTCATTTTTAAAATTAAAAAAATGAATTTAGTTATATAATTGTTTAAGTGTTAATTATTAAAATTTAATTGTTATTTATTTAATTTATTACTAAATATTGTAAAAAAATATAAAAATAAGGAAAATTTTAATAATGGCGCATGCGCAGTGGAATTTTTTGACATTCTACCGGTTAAATAGATGTAAACATGTCAGTGAGGGTAAACAATTGTTATTGCAAATAATTTAGTGAATAATTGAACTATATTTTTGGTAATTTAATGTTTTTTATTGATTTAATTAATTATTTTTAAAGAAAGTGAAAAAAAAAACGCGCAAAAAGAAGGATTTAAATTGAAAAGTTTGTGAGGTTATAATTATTAATTTATTGTAAGTAAAATTAAAAAAAAAATGAGTAAATTTTTTATATAATAAATTAAAATTTTATGTAATAAATTATTTTTTTTACATTTAAAAATTAATTTTTAATTTATAATTACAGATAATTGTCAAAATGCCAGATATTAAATTAAATAATATAATTGTAAATTTTCCATTTGAGCCTTATGAAGTCCAGAAGGTTTATATGTCAAAAGTGATAGAATGTTTACAAAATAAAAAACATGGAGTCCTTGAATCGCCGACAGGTAATTACAAAAAAAAAAAAAAAAAAAAAAAAAATTAACTTTATTATTATTAAAAATTTTTTTAATAAAATAATTTTATTAAAAAATTCGACTTGTAAAAATAAATCAAAATTGCAAGTGAAAATTTTTAGAATTTTTTTTATAAATAAAATTATTACAAAAAATTGCACATGTAGAAAATTTGAAAAATTATCCATGCAATTTTTAAAAAATATTTTTCTACTGCCAATTCAATAAATAAAAACCTTTCTCTGTCGGCTAATTTAAATTTAAATGATAACTAAAGTTAGCCGACATTTTTATTTAATAAAATAATTTTATTAAAAATTCGACTTGTAAAAATAAATCAAAGTTGCAAGTGAAAATTTTTAGAATTTTTTTTATAAATAAAATTATTACAAAAAATTGCACATGTAGAAAATTTGAAAAATTATCCATGCAATTTTTAAAAAATATTTTTCTACTGCCAATTCAATAAATAAAAACCTTTCTCTGTCGGCTAATTTAAATTTAAATGATAACTAAAGTTAGCCGACATTTTTAATTATTTGATATTTTTTTAAATAATTAAATTAAAATAAAAAAATATTTTAACAATTTTCAAAGTTTTTTACAAGTGACATTTTTTGAAAATTTTTTTGTAATAATTTTTTCAATAAAAAAAAAAAATCTAAAAATTTTTAAATGTCGGCTAACTTAATTTTATTAAAATTTCAGGGACAGGAAAGACACTATGCCTGCTATGTTCCTCCCTGAGCTGGCTATCAGCGCGCAAAGCGCATCTCCAAGCTCAATCCTTAGTCGGAGCGATAGACTCTCCAGACTTCGGGGGAGATTTTTTCAAGCGTCTAAAAAAAGACCTCCAGATGGCAAGCAGCGGCGGAGGAGCCGCAGAAGCAAACCCTGAAGCTCCAAGTCAGAGCCCAGCATCATTCGGATGGTCCCAGCCGAAGATAATCTACGCCTCACGCACCCACTCTCAACTAACCCAAGTAATGGGCGAATTAAAGCGAACCAACTTCAAGCACCTAAAGGTAGCAGTTATCGGCTCAAGAGACCAGCTTTGCATCCACCCGGAGATCTCCAAGGAGTCTAACTCAGCTGACAAGATCCATTTATGCCAATCAAAAGTGCGCACCAGGTCCTGCATGTACTACAACAACGTCGAGACTAAAAAAGAAGAGGCAGTTTTTAAAGACACCATTTGCGACATCGAAGATCTTGTAAAAAACGGGACCAAGCACAAGTGCTGCCCCTATTTTATGGCCAAGGAATTGAAACAATCCGCTGATATTACCTTCATGCCTTATAATTACCTCCTAGATCCCAAAACCCGGCGGTCGCAGGGCATCGACCTCCAGAACCACGTGATCCTCCTGGACGAAGCTCACAATGTTGAAAAAACCTGCGAGGAGTCTGCCTCGCTCCAGATCTCTAGTACTGATATCGCGCTTTGCATTGATGAGGTCACTAGTGTGATGAAGCGGCTCCTGGAAGAAGACCTGGAGGTTGGAGGAGGGTTTGAGGTAGAAAAAGAGGCCAAAGATTTCACTCCAGATGACCTTTGTACTTTAAAAAGTATTTTTTTGGGGCTAGAGGCTGCTGTAGATCAGCTGGAGATTAAGGATGAGAAAGGAGACACTTATCCCGGGTCGTTTATCTTTGAACTGCTAGAAAGTGCGCAGTTGGTCGGGAATCATCTTCAGGTCGCTGAGAAACTTGATAAGGTGGTCCTCTGGTTGGCCACTACTTCGACCAGTCCTTTTGCCAGGACGGGCAGGGCGCTGCAGAAGTTTGCTGATTTTGTGAGGACTGTGTTCACTAGTTCGCTGCCGCCTGGTGAGTTTTCTTTTTTATTTGGAAATTTTTTGGGGATTTTAGAGGAAATATAGGAGTTTTTGGAAAGGTAAAAATATAAATATTACAGAACTTAATGTAGAAAGTATAAAAGCCACAGTTGATAATTTAATATCCAACAATAAGTGATTAATAGCTGTCACTATAGTAAATAACGACTCTTTCATCTTAAAAAATTACAGTTTTAAATTAAACAGTAAAAATTCCCATTTTAACACGGAAAAAAATAAATAGTAAATGCAACATGATTTGTCATGTTGTAGCAACATGATCTGTCATGTTTCGGCAACATAATTTGTCATGTTGCGGTAGCATCAAAAAAATCATGTGACAGCAACATGATTTGTCATGTACCGTCTACATGATTTGTCATGTCACAGCAACACGATTTCTCATGCTTGCAGCAACATGATTTGTCATTTTGTGGTAGCATCAGAAAAATCATGTGGCAGCAACATGAATTGTCATGTTTCGGTTACATGACAATCATGTTCCGATATCATGAGAAAAATCATGTGGCAGCAACATGATTTGTCATGTAGCCTTATTAGCACAAAATTAAGCTGCAACAACTAAATATTTATGTTTAAGAAACATTATTTATTCTTAAGTAACTAGGTTTTTTAGGATTTATAATATTGCAGATGACAATAAAACTTACCGTTTTCTAGGCCTCCACCGCGAACGAGTTAAAGAATGCTACCGCATCTTCGTAACCAGTGAACCCAAGCCAAAAAAAGACTCTTGGACCTCAACCAAAGTGAATTCCTCGGGGAAGTTGATCAGCTACTGGTGTTTCAGCCCCGGCTTCGGAATGCGCCAGCTTCTGGAGCTAGGTGCGCATTCAATAATTCTAACCAGCGGAACACTATCCCCCTTAAAGCCGTTCATCACCGAGCTGGGAATCCCAATAGAAATCGTCCTAGAGAACCCCCACATCATCCCCTCAAAGCAGATTTCCATCGGAGTCTTGAGTAATGGCCCCGACGGGCAGGTCCTTAATTCCTCCTTCAACACCCGAAATGACCCCAAGTACATCTCCAGTTTAGGAAGAACTATTTTAAACTTCAGCAACCTGATCCCCGACGGCCTCCTAGTTTTCTTCCCTTCGTACCCTATTATGAAGAAATGCGTCGAGGATTGGCAGCAAGCCGGCCTCTGGAGCAGTTTAGTCTCCAAAAAACCAGTTTTTATCGAGCCGCAGGGCAAGGACACCTTTAATGCAGTTATTTCTGAGTTTTATGGGAAAATCAAAGCTCCCGAGTCACGTGGCGCCATCTTCCTTGCGGTCTGCAGAGGCAAGGTCAGCGAGGGTCTGGATTTCTCGGATGACTACGGAAGAGCTGTGTTGGTAACTGGACTCCCTTACCCGCCGATGATGGACCCCAGGGTGTTGTTAAAGCAGCGTTACCTTGATGAGATAAGGAAGAAAAACAAAGAGGGACTTACCGGCGGACAGTGGTACCAATTAGAAGCCTCCCGCGCGGTAAATCAGGCTGTCGGAAGGATTATTAGACACATTGGGGACTATGGTGCTATTATTTTGTGTGATACTAGGTTTAATAGCCCTCAGTTTAAAGAACACTTATCTAAATGGCTTAAACCGCATTTAAAAAATTATCAGAATTTTGGGATTGTTACTAGAGAGCTTAGAGATTTTTTTAAGAATGTGGGAGAGTGTAAGAGAAATTTTAGAGAGTTACCGACTGTCGGTAAGAAAGTGGCGAAATTGACGGCTAATTTGGGGGGAGAGAAAGTGAAAGAAGAGAAAGTGGATTTTGGGGCTTATAAAATGGAAGCTAAGAAAGTTGAGGGGTCGGTGAATTTTGTGACGAGTAAAGTTCAGGGCCAGTGGAGCGCTAGGACTTGGGAAAGCACTAAGGAGGAGGGGGAGGGTGTTGTTAAGAAGAGGAAGATTAAGATCCAGAAGCTTGAGGTTAATTATAAGGATGATAAGACAGTTTGTGAAGAGGAGACAGCCGGTAAAGAAGATGATAAAAAATTAGTGGGGCAGAAATATCTTAAGAGTGTTAAAAAGGGGCTGAGTAAGGAGAATTTTAAAGTTTTTGCGAAGATGATTGAGAGTTATCGAGCAGAAGGGGATTTTAATGAATTGATCAAGACCTTGGAGATGTTATTTATGGAAGGGATGAAGGAGTTAATTGTGGGGTTCAGGACTTTTTTGAAAAAGCAGCATGTGGAGGAGTTTGAAGAATTTTGTAGGAGAAAGGGTATGTGATTGTTTATATTGTTTTTGAAATAGTGATAGTGTTATTTTAGAGTGTAAATAATGGGGGTAGGTCACAAGGACAGTCGGTTAAATAGATTCAAGTGTTGGAAATATGAAGGACAATATTATAGGTTTGACGGTCGGTAATAAAATTTATAATGTAGAATTTTAATAAAAATTATTTATAATTTTTTAGAGTTTTTTTGTGTGAACAAAAATTTTGTTACCGACTGTCGGTAATTTTATTAATTTAAATAATTTAAGGGATTGACGTTGATTATTTATAAATTAATTTTGAAAGTTGGGTCGGTAAAGTGATTTTTAGTGCCAGCTGTAGGTAAAAAAAATTTTAAGTGAATTAGTGTGAAAAATAAGGACTAAAGGACTTGAATGAAAGATTAAATAAGAATTATTTTTGTAAAATTAAATTTTCATTCAAAATGTCCAATAAAAGGTTATATATTTATAATAATTCATATTTATGTATATATTTATAAGTTAGTAATTGTTGTCTGGACCTAGGCGTCCATGACAGCGTTGTCATGATTCATGGATCCTAAAGAATCCTTCCTTCTTGCAATTTCCTTGGCAACGATATCCTGACAGTACTCCCCAAAGACGCTCCGGTTGTGAGCGACTATTATAAAGAACCTCGCGGCTACGGACGCGAGCTCCTCTTGTAAGGAAGACAGTCCGGGAGGAACTTGAGTCGGTACGCCATTTTGGGTGAGGATTATTTTCTCGAGGAACTGTCGGATCCGTAGGTCTAGAATTTTGAAATTAAAAGTTAGAAAAAATGTACTGCGCATGCGCACTACTAGTTCCACATGTTCCATTAATGGAACGTAGCTACAAAAATGACTGACATAAAATTAATAAGGCTTATTTTAACCCTTAGATGTACTTAGTTCAAAATATAAACAATAATTTAGTAATTAGAAGTTATTTTAGCAAAAAAAAAAAAACGTACTGCGCATGCGCGTTACTTGTTCCAAATGTTTCTATAGTAGAACTTAGTTCCAAAAATGACTAATATTTAATCAATAAGGTTAATTTAAACCTTAAGATGTCGATGTTCCAAAATATGAACAATAATCAACTAATTAGAAGCTTTTTTTGCAAAAAGCGTACTGCGCGTGCGCGTAACTTGTTCCATTAGTGGAACTTGACTACAAAAATGACTGCTTTGTATCCGATAAGGTTTATTTAAACCTTTAGCTGGACTTGTTCCAAGAATATAGACAATAATTAAGTTATTTTAGCAAAAAAACGTACTGCGCATGCGTCTAACTCGTTCAAACTGTTCCACTAGTGGAACTTAGTTAAAAAAATGACTGATTTATATCCAGTAAGGCTTATTTAGACTTTTTAATGTTCTGGTTCCAAAAAATAGACATTAATTAATAAATTATAAGTTACTTTTTAAAAAATTGTACTGCGCATGCGCGTAACTAGTTTTGAATGTTCCACTAGTGGAACTTAGCTCGAAAAACGACAGAATTTTATTAAAAAAAATTGAAACTTACTGACTAATGTTCGGATTTTATGATCTTCATTAATTAGTTCCAAAATTTGCCGTTCCAAAATCGCTTCAGTTTCTTTATCAAGCTCCTTACTGTGAATTTCCTTCAGGATATCATTCACGTCCTTTTTTATCTGGACTATCACATTAGGCATAATTTTTTCTAATTGTCTGCAAAAAATCAAATCATTATTGACCTTTTAAATGAATTTTTTTTATACTTAGAATTAATTAATTAATAAATTAATTATTACTCATTAGAGTGAACAGTGTCTAAGATAACATCCAAGTGTCCTTTGACATTTTTCTTAAATTTCTCCACACCTTGCATTAATCCTCCAACAGTACTTCCGCAGATTAGAAGAATAGACCCTATTATTGCAAGTCTGTTTATTTTGTCCCTTAGTTCCAAGAGTCTTCCTTGATCCAGCATCAGAGTCTAGGAAAAAATAAAATATTATTAAAAATTTTTTAAAGGCCAGGATTTAAATTCTAACCTCAGCTTCAGGAGAAGAGTCCCAATTAAGCAAATCTAGGTACGCTTCAGCGAGTAAATAGTGAGTGACTTGCTTAACAGCATTGTCATCAGTAGCATCAGCGACTTTCTTGTCATCTAGGTGCTTTAGGAGCCAGCGCCTGGTGAACTGAAGTCCATCCGCTTGGATCTCTAAAAACTGGGCAAACTTCTTTTTCTCGTACTCGATACTAGAGGCGACGATGTTCGGGCGCATCATCGTGATTGTGAAGTTCGCTAGGTCCAGCTTCATCAGCTGCAGGGTTTCCATGATCCCCTTAAAGGTTTCAACGATGTCCGAGCACTTTAAAAGCTCATTGATCTTGTCATCGCGAACCGGCGCGCAGATCTTGCTCATTAAATTCAGCACGTAGTGGGAGTAGTGAGTAAAGTTGAGGACTCCTTTCTCCGCTTGCTGTTTTATTAGGTCGATGTCTAGGATTTCGCGGAGGTTTTCACGGATTTTCTTGTGGTGGGGTAACACTAGGTCTTCTAATGTCTAGAATTATAAAAAAATTAAATTAATTAAATAACTTAGTTTTGTATTCTTTAAAAATATTAATACTGCGACCTAGATCTTTAAACCCTGATTAAAACGAGTACCTACAACCCTTATTGATTAATATTTGTTCCTACCAAAAATCGCATTAATAATTTATCAAATGATCTATAGATCATTAATCAAAATTGACCTGCGGCCAAATGAATCGTGAGACGGCTCATTTTACTCGGGAGTTATCAAAGATTAATAATTTTAAATTAATTTATTTTAAAAAAAATTCCTCGACCCATTAATCGCCTTATTAATCATTAATGAAAAAAAAAGTTTTGTATTTTTTAAAAATATTAATACTGCGACCTAGATCTTTAAATCCTGATTAAAATGAGTACCTACAACCCTTATTGATTAATATTTGTTCCTACCAAAAATCGCATTAATAATTTATCAAATGATCTATAGATCATTAATAAAATATTAATACTGCGACCTAGATCTTTAAATCCTGATTAAAATGAGTACCTACAACCCTTATTGATTAATATTTGTTCCTACCAAAAATCGCATTAATAATTTATCAAATGATCTATAGATCATTAATCAAAATTGACCTGCGGCCAAATGAATCGTGAGACGGCTCATTTTACTCGGGAGTTATCAAAGATTAATAATTTTAAATTAATTTATTTTAAAAAAAATTCCTCGACCCATTAATCGCCTATGTTAATCATTAATGAAAAAAAAAAAGTTTTGTATTTTTAAAAAATATTAATAATTGGGGCTTTTACAGTAAAGTTACAGTAAAATATATCACCTCTCGAATTTCCCTTAAAAGCACCAGCGCCTGGCTGTAATCTGGAGGGTCCTCGTTCAGCTGCTGCTTGAGTAAGCTCCAGAAGGCGTAGTGCATGATCTCCTTGACCTTCTTCTGAAGTTTCTTAGTTTTAGCAACCTCGTCGTCAGCTTCTCCTTCAGCTTCCTCATCTCCGTCTAAATTATTCTCCAGCACCGCCGCGTCCAGCTTGAAGTTCTTATCAACTGCTATTTCGTGAGCCAGGGCCATGTTTGTCATACCATTCGCTGCGTTTATTATTTCATCCAGAGACACGAATTTTGGTGGAGATGCTCCTGTTAGGAAATTTGCTGACCATTGTCTAGAAATAATTTTATTTTAAATTTAATTTCTAGAATATCAAAAATTTATGATACTTTCTTATAGGCTAGTAATTTTTTAAAAATATTTTATAATTTTTTTATCTTCAATAGTTAAGTCAGAAAATTTTTTATTAAAAAATTAAAATTCTGGCTAAAATATCAAAAATATAAAATTGTCCCAAATTTTTTTATATTTTCATTATTTTAGCAACAATATTAATTTGGAAAATTAATTTTAAATATAAAATTACCTTTCTTTGTCGTCAGATTTAATAGAAGCACTTGGATTAATATTTTTATCTTCCTCCATTTTATAAAAAAATTAAATAAAGTTTATCTCTAAAACCAGCAAAAAAAAAAAAAATTAATTAATATAAAAATAATTAGGTGTTTATCGGTCAAAGAACAAGATTACAATAAAGCTTTTAGTAATTTTTGTTGCTCTTTTAAGAGAGTAAGGACAAAAGTTGACCTTTGCGTTTATTTTTTTTTATTATTTGTTTTGTCTTTGGTGAATCCTTGGTTTGTCCTTTTATGAACTCTCATGGATTCACTTCCATGATTATTATTATTATTATTATTATTATTATTATTATTATTGCTGAAGTCAGATCTATTATTAATAATAATAATAAAATAAGAATTATAAATTTATCTAGTAAAATTTATAAGTAATAAAAAATTGTAGATAAATTTTTTAATAATTATTTAGGTAATATAAAATTAACTATAACTCCTAAAATATTGATTTTAGGAAAAAATCATAAGAGACCAAAATTAAAGCTTAGGAAATTTCCTATTAAAAACGTTTTTATACTATAGGTCTATTTTTAATATTTTAGGAGATATATTAAGTATAATAATAATTAAATAATATATTAACAATTTTTTTTCTAGTCATAAAAATAATTTTCTTTGTTCCAATTTTTTTTTAGAAAAAAAAATATTACGACTCTTAAAAAAAAATAATATAAATTAATTTTATAATAATAATAATAGTAATAATAAATAACACTTACGTTTTATTTGAACTTTGAATTTTATTGTTTAATTATAAAGTCAACAATTTACATATATATATTATATGTATATATTTTAATATTTTTACCAAAAATTCATATTACTACTTTTTTTTTATATAAAAAAAAAATTACTAGAATTTAGAACTAAATTTGAATTTTTAAATTTTATTTTACGGCGTCATATTTCAATCAAAAATATACACAAATGGTTATATGTTATAAACAGCTGGTTTATTTTAGTCATATATACTACATACTGTAATCTTCTATTTTATTTTCGAGAATTGTTATTATTATTCTCTGAAATTCACCGAAAGTGGCGCCGCCTAGCGGCTAAAAATAAAGCTCGGAATTCAGCGGGAAATTTTAAATATTTAATAATCTATTTAACTAACCTTTAAAGCATAATATCTCCTAAACTATTGACTTTAGAAAAAAATTTTTAGGACAAAAATTGTAGCCCGGAAAATTTCCTATCCAAAAAGGGCCTAAGGTGACCAATTTTTCCTAAAATTTTCCAAGTTACTACCAATTAAAATAAAATTTTCCAATTTTTTAGGAAAATTGAGATTTATAATTGTTTAAAGCTCTATAACTCCTAAACAATTGATTTTAGGAAAATTTTTATATAATGAAAATTGTAGTCCGGAAAATTTCCTATCCAATTCACTACTTAGGTGAGCTCTTTACTCTTTAATTTTCCGAGATACAGCCAATTAAAATTACAATTTTTTTAAATTCGTTTTAAACTAAAATTTCCTCAATTTCCTTCCAATTTTCCGACTTCCAGCTCCTTAAGACTTCATTGATCAACACCTAATCACTCATTAACACTTTACCTCCTTGGCGTGATTAAAGATGTCGCCACTAGCGAGCAGAAAGCAAACAAAACAATTCGCAAGATTTACAGAGGGAAATTATTGACTCGCTGCCTACGCGAACAGTCTATCACTTTAATTACTACCGAGTTCATGAATGAAATCCCGTTTCTTTTTTCCAATTTAGGAAATTTATCTTCTAAAAGAAAAAAACAATAATAAAAATTCATGACCTCGGAATTTTTATTATTTTTTACTAGTCTGGCTTTTATTCTTGAATTTATTGTCAGTGCGAGTTTGCTAAAGATTTATTGAAGTATGCATATATTAAATATATTATTCAGTTCTTGAGAATAAAATTTCGCAAGGCTGGGAGCGTTGGAAAAGCTAAAAAAAAATAAAATTATGGGAAATATTTTTTAAAGGCTTATATCTCCTAAAATATTGAGTTTAGGAAAATTTTTTTTGGACGAAAATTGTAACCCAGAAAATTTCCTATCCAATTTACTACTCAGGTGTGTACTTTACTTTTCAATTTTCCGAGATATAGCCAATTGAAAATACAATTTTCCAATTATTTAGGAAAAATCAGATTTCCAATTGTTTAAAGCCCTACAACTCCTAAACAATTGATTTTAGGAAAATTTTTTTAAGACAAAAATTGTAGCCCGGAAAATTTCCTATTCAAAAAGGTCCTTAGGTGACCAATTTTTCTTAAAATTTTCCGAGTTACAACCAATTAAAAAACAATTTTCCAATTTGTTAAGAAAATTTAGACTTTTAATTTGTTTAAAGCTCTATAACTCCTAAACAATTGATTTTAGGAAAAATTTTTTTAAACAAAAATTATAGCCCGGAAAATTTTCTATCCTAAGAAGCCCTTAGGTGACCAATTTTTCTCAAAATTTCCCAAGTTACAGCCAATCAAAATTAAAACTTGCAATTTTTGGGAAAAATTTAGTTCTTTGATTGTTTAAAGGCGTATATATCCTTAACTATTGATTTTAGGAAAATTTTTATAGAATAAAAAATTGTAGCCCGGAAAATTGCCTTTTTAAAAACCCCCTCTTCTAAAAATGATCCCCCGCTAGAGCCCTCTAAAATTGAAAATTTAAATATACTTATAGCTCTAACGTCAGAGCACTCGAGCCCGAGCCGAGTGCAAGGGCACTGAGGAGGAATGATTAAAGCCCCGGTGATGAAAGAGAAGATGAATAGCGTACCAGATGAGGAGGCCGAGGGCGAGCGGATGGGAGGCTGAGAGGGTGAGAGTGCAAGGTTTAGGGTAGGACGCACCTCGCAGGAGCAGTACTATCGATCTCAATGGATTTAAACCCTCAACACCAAACTCACTCTCGACTCACTTGTACCTCTCAGTTTCCCTCAGTCCTCAGTATGTCTGTGTTACGCTTAAACACTGGGTCATATTTTTATTTTTCCTAAAAAAGTTGATATTTTCCGAGTTTTTCAACGAGTGTAGATTTTTTTTGAATTTTCCGGAAGTTTTAAGGTAATTTTATTTTTATTTTTCCGAAGAAATTTACTGAGCTTTTCAATTTTCTGATTTTTTTTTTTAATTTTTTGCAGTTTTTCCCATCAATTTTCCGCAGAATTTTCCGAATTTTCTTTTGGATTTTCCAGATAAATTTTCTTCTTAATTTTCAAGCTAATGTTCCCAAGTCTTCTCTTAATTTTCCAAATTTTCTTGTGGATTTTCCGGAAAATTTTCTACCTACTTTTCCAAATTTTCGGGGTTTATCACTTAATTTTCCAAATTTTCCTTAGAAAATTTTTGGATTTTCCGGAAAATTTTCCACCTAATTTGTCGAAGTAAATTTTTCATATTTTTCCGCAGAAATTTTTCCAGATTTTCCACAAAAGTTTTAAAATTTTTCTAAACTGTAATTTTTCCTAATCAAACTTTTCCAATTTTCCGAATTTTCTTTGAGTTTTTCCGAGGAATATTCCGGCAATTTTCCGACCTAAAATAAGGAAAATTTTACCTTTGAAAATGCTTAATTATTATATTGAAAAATAGTCGGAAAATTCGGAAAATTTTGGAAAATATTCCCCGAAAATTCTTCGGAAAAATTCTAAAAAAAAATTTTTTTTAGTCAAACATTAAGTGCGACATGAATGTCTAGGTCAAGGAAACCCATTACCGGCGTCTACTAAACTAAAACCAACGACCAATAATAATAATAATAATAATAATAGTAATAATTTGAAGGGAATTGCGTCACAGTTTGGGTTACGTAAATAGTGTTTAAGTGGATTAAATTTAAAATTATAAATTTTTTGGACTGTGTTGCAGATGGGAGAGTAATTTAGGAGTGAAATGAAAATTTAGTTATTTGTTTATATTTTTGTAATGGACGAGTGAATTATCGATGATGACCGATCGTAGAAAAGCTAAGGAAAACCTCCGCGAGTGTTGATATTTTGGAAGTTGGTCAGAGGTGAGATGGAGGACTCTTCGCCGAGAATACGCCCCTATCTTGACTGCTGGGATGTGAGTATAAATTAATTAGGGTTTAAAAAAATTAAAAAAAATTTTTTTAAATAAATTTTCCGGAAAATTTTCCAAGCAAAGAAAAGCTAAGTAAGAATTTTCCAGGAAACACAAGACAAACTGCAGAACGACGACAAATACTCAGTAGCAAACAGCCAAGCGCCGCTGCAAGATGGCGAAGACGAGCACCCGGAACGGGGCACCTGGACCGGAAAATTCGACTTTCTCCTGTCCCTCCTGGGGTACAGCGTGGGTCTGGGGAACGTCTGGCGCTTTCCCTATTTATGCTATTCAAACGGAGGTGGCGCCTTTCTGATCCCCTTCACGGTGATGCTGATAATTGCGGGGCTACCTCTGATGTTCATGGAACTCTCACTGGGGCAGTACGCGAGCTTGGGCCCCGTCGCGGCTTACAAACGGTTCTCGCCGCTGCTCCGCGGACTCGGTTATGGAATGGTCCTGGTCAGCTCAATTGTGATGTTATATTATAACCTGATCATTGCCTGGACGCTCTATTACATCTTTGCTTCAGTTATTGGTAATTAAAAATTGAATTTTTTAATGCGCATGCGCGTAACTTGTTCCTAATGTTCCATTAATGGAACTTGAATATAAAAATCACTGCTTTGTATCCAATAAGGTTTATTTTAACCTTTAGATGTCTTTGTTCCAAAAAAAAGACTGTAATTAGGTAATTAGAAGTAATTTTTTTGAAAAAACGCACTGCGCATGCGCCTGAATCGTTCCTAATGTTCCATTGGTGGAACTTAGCTATAAAAATGACTTATTTTATCCTATAGATGTCCTTGTTCCAAAATATAGATAATAATTAAGTAATTAGACGTTATTTTTGTGAAAAACGTACTGCGCATGCGCGTAACTTGTTCCAAATGTTCTTATGGTAGAACTCAGCTAAAAAAATGACTAATATACAACTAATAAGGTTTATTTTAACCTTTAGATATCCTTGTTCCCAAAAATAAACAATAATTAAGTAACTAGAAGCAATTTTTGCAAAAAAAAAAAACGTGCTGCGCATGCGCGTAACTTGTTCCAAATGTTCTTATGGTGGAACTCAGCTAAAAAAATGACTATTCACTATCCGATAAGGTTTATTTTAACCTTTAGATGTCCTTGTTCCAAAAAAATAGACAATAATTGAGTGATTAGAAGTTATTTTAACAAAAAATCGTACTGCGCATGCGCCTGACTTGTTCCAAATGTTCCACTGGTGGAACTTGACTAAAAAAATGACTGATTTGTATCTAATTAGGTTGATTTGAACTTTTTAGAGGCCTTATTTCAAAAAATAGACATTAATTAAGTGATTATAAGTTATTATTATATTAAAGTGGCTTGAAATAATAAAAACTGGATGTTTTAGGTGGTAGCAAAGTTCCTTGGAGTGATTGCGCCCCAGAATGGAGCACAGAGGACTGTATCGACCCGGTCAAGGCCGAAGACTGTGCGAATAATAATAACACTTACTACAAACGGAATTGTTTGAACAGTACGCAGATGTCGGCGATGAATTTGACGGTAGAAAATATTACGTCGGCTTTGAGACGACCGCCTGCTGAGGAATATTTTGAGTAAGTGATTATTAATTGGCTTTTGAGGTCGTAATATAATTAAATAAATTATTTTTTAGGAACAATGTTCTTGGAATCAGCGAAGGAATTGAATTCACAGGAACAATAAGAGCTCCAATGGCTGCGTGTTTATTATTAGCATGGCTGATTGTTTTTCTGTGTTTGAGCAAAGGTGTCCAGAGTTCCGGCAAGGTCGTTTATTTTACGGCTCTTTTTCCTTATGTGGTTCTGGTAAGTGATCATTAATCACCATTAACGAACGACCTGTTAATCATCATTAATGATAATAAATCCTAGATCGCGCTGTTCGTAAGAGGAATTATGCTTCCTGGAGCAAACGAAGGGATCCTCTTCTACCTGACTCCAGACTGGAATCGCCTGGCGACAGCTAAAGTCTGGGGAGACGCTGCAGTTCAGATTTTCTTCGCCCTGAGCCCAGCCTGGGGAGGACTGATCACCCTTAGCTCCTACAACAAGTTCGACAACAACTGCTACAAAGACTCGCTGATTGTCGCTGTTAGCAACATCGGGACCTCTTTTTTCGCTGGACTGGTCATATTCTCAGTGATCGGGTTCCTGGCACATGAATTGAACGTTCCAGTTGCCTCAGTGGTGGACCAGGGTGCTGGACTTGCATTCATTGTTTATCCAGAGGTAAGTATTTGATTATTAATTGATTAACTAATATTGGTTGGTTGTTTATTTATATTATAAATTGCACCAGGTGGTGGCGCGACTACCGATTGCTCCGATCTGGTCACTGCTGTTCTTTGTGATGCTGCTCACTCTGGGACTGGATTCCCAATTCGCACTGATGGAGACTGTTACTACTGCCATCTTAGACGGAATTCCAGCACTGAGGAATTTCAAGGTCTGGGTTGTTCTGGGTGTGTCTGTATTTGGGTATGCTGGAGGCATTATTTTTACTACTAATGTAAGTAGATTTTGTTTTTATTTATTGTTCAAAACATCATAATCATCATTGTTCATATTGATCACCATTGTTCATCACTTTGTTCATCAAAATTGTCATTGTTCCCTTTAATCACTATTGTTCATATTGTTCCTTTCAATCACCATTGTTTATAGTCATCATCATTGTTCATAATTATCATTAATCTTCATATTGATCACCATTGGTCACTTTGTTCACCAAAATCATCATAGTTCCCTTTAATCACCATTGTTCAGATTGATCATCATTGTTTCATATTGTTTTATCATTGTTTATACTGATCATCAGTGTGTACCTATTGTTTATTATTGTTCATATTTTTCCCTTCAATCACCATTGTTCATAATTATTATCATTGTTCATACTGATCATCAATATACCTATTGATCATCATTTTTCTTATTGTTTTCTTTAATCCCCATTGTTCATATTGATCAACATTGTTCATATTGTTCATATTGATCATCTTTGTTCATATTGTTCATCATTGTTCATATTGTTCTCTTTAATCATAAAAATCATCATTGTTTACTTTAGTCATCATTGTTCATATTGATCACCATTATTTATTATTGTTCACTTTGTTCACAAAAATCATCATTGTTCTTTTTAATCATTATTATTCATTATGATTATCATTGTTCTTATTAATCACCGTTGTTCAGTTTGTTTACCAAAACCATCATTGTTTATCATTGTTCACAAAAATCATCATTATTCCATCAAATAATCATTATTCATAATGATCATCATTGTACCTATTGATCATCATTGTTCATACTGTACATTTTAAATCACTATTGTTCATATTGATCTCTTTAATCACCATTGTTCACATTGTTCTTTTTAATCACCCTTGTTCATATTGATCATCATTGTTAATGTTGATCATCATTGTTTATATTGATCACCATTGTTCATATTGATCATCATTGTTGATATTAATCACCATTGTTTACTTTGTTCACAAAAATCATCATTGTTTCCTTTAATAATAATTGTCCATATCGATCACCATTATTCATATTGATCATCATTGTTCACTCCGATCCCCAAAATCACCACCAATGATACCAAATCACCAACAGGCAGGAATGTACTGGCTCCAACTAATGGACAAGTACGCCGCCAACTGGTCAGTACTCCTAATAGCAATCACCGAGTGTATCTTAGTAGCCTGGGTATACGGAGCAGACCGGTTCCTAGATGACGTCCAGCTGATGATTGGTCCCAGAAGCAAATGCTGGAAGTTTTTCTGGAAGTGGATGTGGAAAGTGGTGACCCCTGCTGCGCTTTTCTTTATCTTGTTCTTCAACTGGGTCGAGTACGAGCCAGTTACCTACGGAGCTTATGTTTACCCCAAATGGGCAGATGCTGTTGGGTGGTTGGTTGGGCTCTACCCGGTTTGCGTGATCATTGTGCTGGCATTAGTAAGTAGACAGTTCTTGAACCTTCATTACCGACTGATGGTAATTCTGGTATTTTTTTTGCGTAGTTTCAACTACGGAAACCCAAGAGACGCCCGTATGACGATGATGATGACTTTGATGACCCCAGGACCTCGACTAGCTCGGAGACAGTTAGAGGAAGTGGAAGGAGTGTCTGGGAACGGGCGAGGATTCTGCTACAACCGACTGCCGATTGGAAACCGGCTTCGCAGAACTCTGTTACGCCTTCTAGGACTCTGACTAACCCAAACTCGTTAGGTAAGGTAGATCTCTAAGATAACGACAATAGATCTGTAGTATACAGCTATTTTTTTAGGAAATTTCTTAAGCTACAATTTTAATTATCAATATTTATCCTTACAGGACAACATGGCTACGAATCAGTGCACGACACGATAATCCTGGTGAACGGGCAACCAGTGATCCAGCCCTCACAGAAGCTCCCGGGACCGTCGATCCTCAAGAACTCCAGCAAGGTTGACCTGATAACCTCCCAGCAAGTCTAAGGCCGGTAATGTAACGAGTTACCGACCGTCGGTAACCCCCAATATCCCTTAACGTAAGTAAATGTCCGTGTATTTTGCTCATTAGAAACTAAAAACCTAATCAATTGATTAAAAAAGCTAGTGCTAGATGTCACTGTTTAATCATCTCACCGAGAGGTTGTATCTCATGTCAATATTGTGTCGCTTACGCCGATCGACTGTAAATAGTTTTAAAAAAACAAAGATAATAATTTAACTTAAAATTTTGTTATCGACCGAGCTCATTTGTACAAATGATAATTATTTTTTTTTTTAAGAAAAAAAATCTATATACAAATACTTACCCAAAAATGTTCATATATATGTAATTAATGTTCAAATATTTATTAATTACTTTTTATGAATGGACGTGCATGTTTTTACGTGTTTAGTATTAATTATAATTGATAATAATTGTAGAGAGGGATAGATTAATATTTTTTTAATAATTATTTTTGAGATAACATTTTATCGCGGGTCGATATGGAAGGTTATTATCATGTGGAGGTTATTTATCGGCTGTTGGTAGGAAGAGTCTGAATTTACGAATTATTTTTAATTACGAATAATTACAACGCTTACTGTGAATTGAAGCGCGAATCAAAGAAATAAGATTGTAAGTACAAACCTGGTCGATTGACAATTATTATCAATAAGATTTAAAAAATTGCCTGAAAATCAACCCTGACCTCGTAAAAATATATAAATTATTAATATATAGTTAATGTTATCAAATGGATATATATATATATATATATATATATATATATATATATATATATATATATATATAATATATGATTTTTCATTAATGTTACATATGTTACTTATGATCTTCCTCATATGTTACATAAGATTTTTTTATGTTACACTGTTACATGTTACACATAATTCTTTTTTTAGTGTTACATATGTTACTCATAACTTTCCTCATATGTTACATATGTTATACAGAATTTTTTTTATGTTACATATGTTACATATGATTGTTTTCCTTATGTTACATATGATTTTTTATGTTATTTATGTTACATATGTTACATATATGATTTTTTTATGTTACACATGTTACATGCGTTACATCTGATTCTTTATGTTACATATGTTACACATAATTTTTTCCTTAATAATACATGTTATATATGATTTTTCACATATGTTACACATGTTACATATAACTTTTTTCTAATGTTACATATGTTGCACTTTTTTTTTATGTTACACATGTTACATCTGATTTTCTTTGCCACATATGTTACACATGATTTTTTATGTTACATATGATTTTTTTATGTTACACATGTTACATATGGTCCATCTGATTTTTTCTTATGTTACACATAAATTTTTTCCTTTATGTTACATATGTTACACATAATTTTTTCTTTAATGTTAGATTGTTACATATGATTTCCCACATATGTTACACATAATTTTTTCTTATGTTACACATGATTTTTATGTCACATGTGTACATATGATTTCTTCCTGATCTAACATATATTTTTTTAATGTTACACATAATTTTTTTCTTAATGTTACATATGTTACACATGTTACATATGTAACATACGTTACACATGACCTTCTCCAATACCACCCGTGTTGATACTCATTTTTGTCGTCTCGACCTCCAGAACACCCTCCCGACCTCCATTTCCTCCAAAAAAACCAACCCGGGGTAATATGGTTAGTAAAAAAAATAATTTATTTCTCAACAATTAATCATACAAAAAAATTTCTTAATCACAAAAAAAAATCACGAAGAAGGTTGCGAAGGTCTAAGAATGACTCTTGACCTCGAAATGGCTCCCACAATCGGCTTAAAAAGAAGCAACAGCATGCCAAAGAAGTAGCAAGCGAAGATAATGTCCCTCCCGACATACCCTCCGGGATAAGAGTGCTTGTAGGTCCCGTTGATGATAGTCGCGACGAAGATGACGCTCATAGCAATCCCGCCGAACGCATGGGCGACTTTAATGACCACTGGCCGAACGTGGGGGTACAGCCAGCGCGAGTTTAAGGCCGCTGTGCCGACCAGGGCGACCACGCAGGAGATTACAATAGCGCTGAGGCCCAACTGCGCGTGGGTAGTCGCGAAGTGAGGCTTGTTTAGACGGTTTTTGTTTACTACCGCGATTATCAAGCCGATGAACATCAATGTTAGTCCCGAGGTCACTAGGATCCAGTGGATTGTCACTCTCTGGGTGCGCTTCACGCGGGAGGTTAAGTTTGACTCGCCGGATATTGCGAAGATTCCTTCCATTAGAAGCAAACCCACCTAAAAAGGAAATATTAGTCATTTTAATACAGTCGTTACTAAAAATGGTTTTAACTCCTAAAGTATTGAGTTTAGGAAAAAATTTTTAGGACAAAAATTGTAGCTTAGGAAATTTTCTACAAAAAACCTCTTAGTACTTCATTTCTATCTTCAATATTTTAGGAGCTATAGCAACTTTAGGAATGACTAAAAAGTAGAGAATTAAAAATTATTTTTAGGGACTATAAAAGTAGCTATAACTCCTGAAATATTGATTTTAGGAGAAAATTATAGAAGGGAAATTGTAGCTTAGAAAATTTTCTACAAAAAACCTTTTAGTACTTCAATTCTATCTTCAATATTTTAGGAGATATAGCAACTTTAGAAGTGACTAGGAAGTAGAAAATTAAAAATTACTGTAGGGCCTAGAAAAATGGCTACAACTCCTAAAATATTGATTTTAGGAAAAAATCATAAGAGACTAAAATTGTAGCTTAGGAAATTTCCTATAAAAAACGTTTTAGTACTTCAATTCTATCTTCAATATTTTAGGAGATATAGGAGCTTAAGTAATGACTAGGAAGAAGAAAATTAAAAATTACTGTAGGGCCTAGAAAAATGGCTACAACTCCTAAAATATTGATTTTAGGAAAAATTTATAGGAGACTAAAATTGTAGCTTAGGAAATTTCCTATAAAAAACGTCTTAGTACTTCATCTCTATTTTCAATATTTTAGGAGATACAGCTCCTAATAATTTAGATAATAAAAAATTAGCTGTAACTCCTAAAATATTGAGTTTAGGAAAAAATTATAAAAAAACCAAAATTGTAGCTTAGGAAATTTCCTACAAATAATATTTTTATATTACAGGTCTATCTTCAATATTTTAGGAGATATAATTATTCAATTATAAAAATCAAACTTACTCCTAGAGCCATACAAATTGGGTGCCAGGAAAAAAAGTTATAGTGAACAAAGTAACTTATGACAATATAAGCCACAGGAATTATCAGCAGTGCGTGCGAAATTATAGTCATTACGGAGTTAATCATCGTCAGGCTATCGCTCTTCTTATCACCTGATTCGCCCTTGTCCGTCTCCATTCTTAAATTTATCATAACTTTATTATCAGCAACGTGTCCTACAAATAAAGGAAAATAAGTATTTTAATTTTTATTACTATTATTATGATAATAAATGAACATTTTCCTCGCCGTGATTAGCATAGGAATCTCAGCGAGTGATTCATACTCACAACTATTTATTATTTTTTTTTTTTTTTAATTACACAATTACAATGACAATAGATTTTATAATTCACGATTTTTAATACAATCTTTCTTTTAAACGCTTATAACTTCTAAACTATCGAAGCTATTGGAAAATTGTTTGAACAAAAATTGTTCCCCGGAAAATTTCCTAACCAAAACACACCCTAAGTGTTCATTTTCCTCCGATATATCCCGAGAAAATCGAAGAAAACTAACGACTGCTTAATTTTCTAAAAATTGCACACTAATTTGTTTATTATTGAATAACTTTTGAACTATTGGAGCTATCGGAAAACTTTCTGAACAAAAATTGTTCCCCGTAAAATTTCCTAACCAAAATACACCCCAGGTGTCCAATTTACCCCGTAAGATCCCAAAAAAATCGAGGAAAACTAATACGTGGTTAATATTAACTTTCTGAAAATAATACACTGAATTTTCCGGGATTTTTGGCCTTTTATAATAAAATTATCAGTAATTTTTTGTCGCTCACTTCCTCAAAACACTCGAGTGTGTAAATAAATAATTTTTACTTACGCGATAAATATTTTAATAGATAAAAAGCATCCTTCTTATAGAGCAGCGCAGCAAACACTGACGCTAGAAGAGACGCGTGTTTACAAGGCTATATTATAATTATTATTATGTTTTTTTTTTTTATCATCGGAATTAAGCACGAGCTATATGTCGAGGCTTCTGTTGCATAGTAGGAGGCTCTGTAGTAAATTCGAGAGAGAAAGGAAGAAATCACGCAATAACAATCGAGCTATTCAAGACGCTACGGGACGGATTTTTTGTGATGGTTATCTTTTGCTAAAATTTTACCTAAAGATTTTGGCGGTGGTTTAATTACAAATGATAAATTTAATTGGGGTAATGATAATTGTAAAGTGGATTGTGATTCTTTGTTTTAATCACGTAAACATTTTTTAATTTTTTAATGCTATATTTAAAATATTGAAAATAGGTATATATTATATAGACGTTTTTAATAGAAAATTTCCTTAAAGCCCAAAAAAATTGTCAATTGTTTTAAAATAATCTCAATCAATTTGTCCGTTTGTACAAATATGTTTCAGTATCTAGTACGAAATTGTAATTTACATCAATGGGTTGAAGCGAAGAGCTTACATTTTTCATCGTAGATGAATAATATAGTATGGTCTCACCTAATAAACCGGTAGTTATAAAATGATTATCACCGTCTACAAACATTGAATAAATATCATTACCAATGTAGAAAGTCATATTAGAATTAAGGTCCCCATTCACAGTAACTTTACTATTTTTACCTTGATCTTCAAATTCTTGCCGCCAGTCGATAACCGCCACTTTATTATCATCAACATTAACAATACCGTCTAAGTTTTCCACACCGTTAACCTTGCACTTAAATATCATATCTCCGCAATTTTCGTCCTTCGTCCTGACCCTTAAAGTTCTTCCAGACTTATTAGTAACCTCCAAACTTACAACCAACCCGTTATCCGTGCAGACGCCGCATTCGTCTATCACCGTATTGCTTCCGTAGAACTCAAACTGGTACTTGTTCCACCAGTAGAGCACGCGTTTGTCGATAAAGTGCCCGATGTGTGACTTAAGAACCGTCGCATCGTGTGCCTTAACAAATTTTCCCTCAACCGGCTTAAACCTTTCAAAATCGGCGTCTTTTTCGTCTGCATAAGAAATTACGCCGGGCTGGTCCCTGAGCTCCTTTCGGGTCAGAGTCGTCTTGTATTTATCCTTTTGCGCCACCTGGTACAGCTTCCGCATCTGGATCCATCCCGCGGCGTACTCAAAGTTCTCATAATCACTTTCGTACGCGACGATATGGTTCCGTTGAACGCGGAGCCAGAACGCAAACTTTTCAGACTTGAACACGCCCAGCCCACTGATTGGCCAGATCCGAACCTTAAACTCCGCCTTTCGAGTGTAATTGGGCCACTCTCGGGCGAGATCGTCGCAAGTGACCTTGGGCGCGCGTCCGAACAGCCCCAAGGGCACAAAGTTCATATTTGGGTGCAAGACGTCGTTAAATATTCCCTTGATGACGTCTTCCAGGCCTACGTCGTACTCCCGGGCCCGGCAAACTCCGAAGTAGAACTCGCCAGTCTCCACCAGCGGCCAGTACGTCGTGACTTGCTTGTAAATAAACGAGCATTCTTGATGAAGTCCGTCGCTAATTTCTCCGCGAGGAACCCTGTCGACGCCGTTTATAAATTTTTGCAGGTCCTGGAACTCGTGCGGAGTCACCTGGAGGCCACTTAGGTTGTTGGAGAGGTGGTTCGTAACGATCCAAGGAACCGCGACCCACACAAGCTCCACCCCTCTTCGCGTTACGCCGAGGGAAAAGTTAAACTTTGTCGTTATCTTGCAGATGCGCTCGTGGCAAATGTTCTTGACCTTGTCGTTGGTTCCTAGGATTTTGTAGGTTGCTAACAAACGCGTCAGCATAACTGCGACGTCGTACCAGTGCTGCTTGGCGATAAGCGTTTTGTCCTCTAGTGCGACGTTTACGCGCTTGATCAGATCTTCCACGACTATCAGGTAATCGGCAGTTCCTTCTTTGAAGTAACCAGACAGCAGATTGATGCCGTACGTCGCAATGGCTCCTATCTTAGGAACTCCTTCGGTCACGAAATTATTATTAAACTTTTCTGTTGGATTTGTGACGTACGCTGACGCAAGCGTCTTGTCCTTCTGCGGCAACTCGAGTTTCAACGTGAAGGCATTAAATAGGATCCTCGTCCTCGAATCTCTTGGCTTAGAAATTCGTACAGGCTTTGGAACGTCCTTGGTAGGCAACTTAGGTACTTCAGCTATGGAAATATCGTCGAAAGTTTCTGCATCTTCTCGGGTGAATTGCGTTCTTAAGTTTGGATCGTCGAGCGCCGGATTTTCGTCCTCCGGCGAGGTAATTTCAAGAAGTGGGTAGAAATAAATTGCTGCGAATATTAGCAGCGGGACAAGGATAACTAGCAGGGTTGATAATATTTTAGGCATGTCTGCTTCTATAATAAGCAAAAAAAAAAAAAAAAAAAAGATTTTTTTTTTTAATTCTGCTACAACTTTGGTCTCATGTAATTTTTACGTCACAACCATTTCTATAACAACAACTTCCGCCAAAAAATAATTCAATTGTTCAAATTGTTTCATGATGGCTTGTACATCATCGATCTATCATCAAATTTACATTGCGCGGGCGGATTTTCCCCGTTATAATTAATCGGATCTGACAAATTAGTCTTGGAACTTCCACCGACAAGCAACTTGGTATCTTTCAGCACAAAATGATCTTGTTTTTGCGGGTTAATTTCGTATTTAACATTATTAATTTTGAACGCCATCTCTTCGCTCTCTACCCAAGTAACTATTTTCTGCGAATCCGTCTTGTCAAATTCTTGCCGCCAATCGATAAGCGGCTCTTTATTATTTTCAACAGTTACGATACCGTCGGAGTTGGCTACACTGTCAACAGTGCACTTGAAATTCGTATCGCCAAGATGTTCATCCTTCGTCCTAACCATTAAAGTTTTTCCGGACTTATTAGTAACCTTCAGACGTACAACCAACCCGTTACTAGTGCAGACGCCGCGTTCGAATATTACCGTTTCACTCCCGTAAAACCCGAACTTGTACTTGTTCTACCAGTATAGCACGCGGTCGGGGATCTCAAAGTGCCCGATGTGCGACTCAAGAACCGTCGCATCGTGTGTCTTAACAAAATCTTCCTTAGCAGGTTTAAAACTATTAAAGTCAGCATCGTTATCGTCTGCGTATTAAATTACGCCGGGCTGTTTTTTGAGATCCGCCCGGGTCAGAGTTTTTAGGTAGTCACCCTTGTTCTTCACCTGGTACAACTTCCGCATCTGGATCCACCCCGCGGCGTACTCAAAGTTCTCCTGGTCACTTTCGTACGCGGCGATACCGTTCCGCTGAACGCGGAGCCAGAACGCGAACCGGTCGGTCTTAAGCACGCCCAGCCCACTGACTGGCCAGATCTGAACCTTCTTCTCATTCGCCGTCAAGGTGGAGAAGTTCGGCAAGCCAGGGGTCACAGTTTGCTGCCAAGTGAGCTGCGGCTGGCGCCCAAACAGCCCCATGGGCACAAAGTCCAGCTCCGGGTGCAAGATGTCGTTCAATATTTCTTCGATTGCGTCGTTGTCGATTGTGATCATCAACGCCCAGAATACTTTCGAGTAGAACTCCCGGGACTCTATCAGGGGCCAGTACGTCGCCACCTTGTTGTAAATGTACGACCCGTCCTTGTGGAGTCCGTTTGTGAGCGTCGCAGACTCGGCGATACTTGCGACGACCATTGCGTCCTTCACCGCTTGGAACTTCGGCGTCTTCATCTGGGAGCTTTGGAAGTCTGCATCGTAGATAAAATTGGTGACGATACTCGGGATTGCGATCCACACCAGCTCGATGCCGGTCCTTGTTTTGCCGAGGATCTCTCGGATCTATTGCGCGCAGATGACCTTGTAGTTGTCTTTCGTCCCCAGGAACTCGTACATCGTGAGCATGCGTGGCAGCAGGACACCGACGTCGTACCAGTTCTGTTTCCAGGGTGCCTGCTCGTTCTTTTCCACGAGCTTCTTCAATTCGACGTCCAGGCGATTGATTAGATACTCCGCAATCCTCCGGTAAGCGGAGTCTTTATTCTTGGCGTAAGCTGACAACATCGTGATCCCCAAGGACGCTATTTTTCCTATTTTGGGGACCGATTCGTCCATTAAATCCGAGTTGAACTTTCTCGCCAAACCTTTGGCTAGTTTGTGATAATCCTCCGGCGCGATCTTGTTGTTGAATGTTGTTCGGAGTAATAACATCCTCGCGCCTACTTTGGTTTCTTTTTCGGAGTTTTCAAGGCCCTCGACTTGGTTCGCTGGGGCAGAGTTTTTAGAAACGCCTGGAGAGGTGTTTTTATTCAGGTCGACGCTTTCAGTTTTTGATGAGGAGCTCAATAATATTGCTAAGTAGATCATCGCACCAAGGAAGATCATTCCTATTACAATAAGTACTAATTTATTTGACATTGTAGAATTTAGGTGAGTATTTAATGTTTCTTCCTCTATAATAAGCGTTAAAAAAAATAAAATTTTTTGTTTTTTTTTTTATAGAAGAAAGTTTATAATAATTTAAATTAAATATTGAAAATAGACTTGTGGTATATATTAACGTTTTTTTTGTAGGAAATTTTCTAAGCTACAATTTCAGAAGTTATTACCTTTATTATAGAAGAAGAAAAATTGATATGCTTTCTTTGCATAATTACAATGAATTATTTGTACTTAGCATTAATCACTCTGCTGCTCATAATCGGCGGCTTTATATATTATTTTATGGGTTCCTCGGAGGAATTTTCTAATCTAGATAAGCTTCTTTCTGATTCTACAAATGAATCAAAAGATCTAGAACAAAGTGAAGAAAAAAAACTAAAAGAAATTAACGATGAAGAAATAAAACGTAGAAATTCAATGTTGTTACGTTTGGCAAAATCTTTGAAGAAGCATTCCGTTCTTTCCGAAAATCGATCATACGCGGACAGTTTACTTAAAATGCAAGCAGATGTGGAGGATAATACCCTAAAAAAACTCTCTCTGTGACATTGGCAGCTTCGGGTACTTCGGAATCGCGCTTTTGCTGACCAACGACGACGTAAAACGGTCGGACTACCTGAAGATCGTGGAGGATATGATCAAAGCCATAGACGCCGATCTAAATGCGATTTCTTTTGACGGCACACAGGTTCCTTATAACGACTACTGGTACAACATCTCGGTCTTGCTGACTCGCCTATTGGCAACCTACGAGATCCTCGGGTCCGACGACACCATCAAGGACATCTGCCACAATAGGATCCTCCAGATAACGCCTAAGGTAAACGTCTCCCTCGGCGTAGAAAGAACCGGCATTGAGCTAGTGTGGATTGCGGTCCCTTACCTAGTCACCACTAATCTCTTCGCCAAAGATAAGTGTACGACGCCGCAACAAGTTCTGAGTGTAAAAATCACCCAAGGACTTTGCCGACGGGTTATACGAAGACGGGTCGTTTCTCACCTCCAGGCTTGTGACTTACAAGCCGCTGATTGATTTGCAGATGTTCTACGTCGAGATCCTCAAGGTGCTTGAGTTCCCCACAGAGATCGAAAATCGCGTCAGAGACATATTTAACTCGATACTCCACCCAGAAATGGATATCGTACCCTTTGGGCTGTTTAGCACCGTCCCTGCGGTGACGTTTCAGCAGCAGGTCTCTCAGTTCTGGCCAGACTTCGTAAAGGCGGCGAACTACAAGACTCAGATCTTTCCGGTGATTGGCCTGGGCGTGTTCAAGTCGTCTGACTTTGTCTTTTCGGTCCGCGTCCAGCGGAGCAATCTTGCGTCGTATGGAAGCGACGGTCAGGATAACCTCGCCTTAGGCTGGGTCCAGATGCGGAAATTGTTTATGAGGGGGTTGACTGAAGCTAAGTATGGCTTCGGGATAGAGATGATGCTGGATCTGATAATGTTACAGCCTGGCGTAATTTCGGTCAGCCCAACCGATGAATCAGATAGTGTAAATCCCCCCCCCCCCCCGGCGTGGAATCACTACGTGAAACACATTGTAGAGACGTCGCATGTTGGACACTTTGAAATCAAAGGCAAAAGCGTGCTCTATTGGATGCAGAAGTACACTCTTGAGTACTTAGGAAGAGACTCGTTGGTCACGGAGTACGGCGTTTGCACTGATAATGGACTCGTCATGCGGCACGACGTTATCAATCGGTCCGAAAGAACGTTGAGGATCCAAATGAAGGATGAGGATATTGATGCCCGGTGGGAGACCAACTTTGATTCAAAGGGCTTGACGCTGACAGACGGAGGGTTTGACATTAAAAAAAATAAACAGGCTGTGATATCCTCGAGATACGTCAGAAATAATTTTGACAAGCCTCAGGAGGTTAATCATGACGAGACAAAAAATTGCATGAAGTTTGAATTTGGAGATAAGACGTTTTTTTGTTAAGGGGGATAGAGGTACTTCTGTTGTTATAGATGAGACAGAGGAACTCTTTATTGCTAGCAGCTATCAGATCTGGAATAAAACACATGATTATAATTATAAGAGAACACAGGTGAAATTTCAATATGATCCAGTGACGAAAATGTTTAAGAGAAATTAATTGAGAGATTTTTTAATTGGAATTTTTTTTTTTTTAGAGGGGAGTCGTGGGAAGAAGGGAAATCTTTAAGAGTTGTTATGGTAAAAATGGTTGTAACTCCTTATATATTGATTTTAAGAAAAAATTGTAAGGATTATGAAACGGAATGTTTTCCTTCTCTTGGTCGCCCTTTTTCTCTTAAGGGCGCCACTGGATTTTTGTCCTCAGTATCCAGAACTGGACCAGAACATGGAGTGCTAGGTCAGGGTCGTGAGAGATTAGTTGAAAGGAACTAAGATCAAAACACAGAATTTCGTTTAACAAAAATTATTTATTTATCCAATCCCCCTTATAATTGTGATATGGCCAGTATAACAATATATAAAACTTCATGGATACCAATGCTCATTCACGCTCACACTCATACAGTATATTTCTCGCTGTCCAGCTAGACCCTCACGTGGCTGTAGTACCCGATGCCTACTGGACTCTCACGATACTCTATCTACTTCACGTCGTCCCCTGGACCTCTAACGCTACTCTAACTTAGTTCGCGCGGTCTCACGGACTCTCACGCCACTGAGCTGGACCTCTGACGTGACTACACACGTTGTCCACACAGCGCACGCTGTCCCCCAAACTTCACGCTACTCTGAGAGAACTACCCAAGGCTGGATAGTCTCTTTACACTCACACAAACACACTCTAAACTAATTCCCAATAACAATAATAATAAGAGCGCTCGAATTACAAAACAAAACAATTTCCATAATATTAATTACCTAATTAACAATTCCTTAATAAATAATTATCATTTCTTCTAAATACTAATTTACTGCCGTGTTCTTAATATTACGACACTAAATATTTAAAACAAGAGGTCTTAGTATCTTGAATTAATCCTAATTGTTATGTCCGAGAAATTTATTAAATAAATTTTAATCCTTATTTTAGCAAACTTAAATTAATTGAGCAAACCTAAATATTTTACATTATTTAATCCAAGCTTAATTTATTTCAAAGCATTTTGTTTTATCCAGTAATCGGCAATACATTTTGTTAAATTTATTTTTCGACACAAAAGTTAAATTTCGACAAGGGATTATTCTATTGTAATTTATTATATGTTTCTTAAACTTAATATTTCATTTTACTCGAGTTTATTCTATTTCAAAAACTAAGAGACTTTAGCTACGACCGTGTGTCCTCTACTTAGCGTTTTCTCGCACGGACAAGATGGCCGACGCTCTCGCTCGGTCTAGCGTCTTTGTCGCAAGACACATGTAATTTTTTTTCTGATGAAATTTTTGCACACCTTTATATTCTCTATTTTCTTGACTAATTAATCTAGATTTACAATTCTATTGTTTTAAACGATTATTTCCTGAATCTACTATAAATTTTAGTTAAGACAATTATTAATTTTGTGCGCCAATTAATTTACTAAAATAGATTTTACTGTCGAATCAATGCCGGTCTTAAATAATCTGAATTTTACGGTTTACTCAATTCTATTTTCTATTGGCTTAAGCCAAATTATTGTCTATCCATTCTCAATTAAATAAATTTTACACATGGCGAAAATCTGGAACTAATAACCCGACTTAATGCCTAGTATTATCAACCCAGACAGACCTACGTGTAAAATACAGAGACAAGTTAATTTTCCTAAACAAATTAAATAATAACCCTAGTGCTATTAATTATTTGTCTATAATGTTTCTAATATTAATATTGAACTTAATTTAATAATAACAATGACTAGCGATTGTGACCGAACGCGAAATGGCGGTGACCTTCAGCCGACGTATTGCCTGGCTGACGCTGCCGACCCGAGCAACATAATCAGACATGATAATTGTACCTGGAGTTTTACGCTTTATTAATTCCCTACTCGTGTACTCCCTCGACGAGCTACAACTCCTTTTTCCAGGCTGGTGTAAGTTTTTCCTTGGAATAAATCCTCGGCAATTATCTCCTCGGGTTACTGCTTGGCAGCGAAAAATCCGGTCACCGTCACTCGTGCTCTGGATATTTCTCTTGAACCTATAACCGCAAATCGGCATTAGAATATTTTACAAATTAAAATTAATTTACGCAAGCTGACAGGCGGCCTAGCAAGCAATAAATCAATTAATTTTTCATCGCTTCGTTCCACTTTAAGGTGAGCGAAATAAAATAATTACCTGTGTTCAGTTCTTACTAAAGTTGCGATGCGTTCAACGAGATTCCTCGGTCACAATGAGTCTTCTCGGTATTGTCGTTGTATTTCTTTCTTCACCCTACCTTCCCCACTCTCTCTCTCTCTGCCTTCCCCACTCTCTCTCTCTAGGCGCCAGCGCTTCCCCCTCGGGGACTTACTCACTAACTTACAGCTAGAGGCGCGAGTACTTAAGAACACAGCGCTCTGGGGAATCAGTCGATAACTAACTCACGGATCGGGAACCTTCTCTGGGTAAAGAAGGCCCCGTGTACTCCGTTACAAATTAAAAAAAAAAAAAATGAAATAGTTTTGCTTTATTATAGAAGAAGAAAATTGATAAACTTTCGTTAGAGCATTATAATGAAGTATTTGTACTTGGCATTAATCCCACTGCCTCCTTATAATCGGAGGCGTTATATATTATTTTGCAGGTTCCTCAGACGAATCTTATGATGTAAATAAGCTTCTTACTGATTCCACAGATGAATCGAAAGATCTAGAAGAAAAAAAAAGAGAAACTACCGGAACAAAAGAAAGAACAACACGATAAGGAAGAAGATCGGCAAAACAAACCTAAAAAAAAAAAAAAAAAAAAAAAAAAAAAAGACAAAACATCAGAAGAAATTGAAAAAGAAAGAAAACAAACAGAACAGAGAAATTCAATGTTGTTACGCTTGGCAAAATCTTTGAAGAAGCATCCCAATGATCAAGAGTATAAAGATTTCGCGGACAAATTCAGCAAAATGGAAACAGGATCCTGTCTTCTATTGACCGACGACGCCGAAAAGCTGCCGGAGTACCTGAAGATTGTGGAGGAAATGATGGTACACTTGTCAAGGACATCTGCCACAAGAGAATCTCCAGAGAATCATGCTACGGAAAATAGCATCAAGTTTGAATTTGGAAAAAAGACTTTTATTGTTAAGGGCGATGGAGATATTGGTGTTTTAGAGGAAACAAAAGAGGGACCTTTCATTGCTAGCGGCTATCCCATTTGGAAACAAACATACAGTTATAATAATTATGTCGGCAAGCAGGTGACATTTAAATATGATTTGGCGACGAAAATGTTTGAGAAAAATTAATTGAAATTTGAATTATTTTTTTGTGGCGATCTTAGGGGAATTTTAAGAGTCAGATCCCATATAACAATCTTTTTCAAGGCTTGAGCAAGTCTGCTGGTCGCAATATTTTAGAAGATATAAATAATCCTAAGAGTAAAAAATAAAAAAGTATAATAATTATTAATTTATAAAAAAAATTTTTTTTCAACGCTTACTATTGTTATAGCAATAGGGATAGTGTCGATGGTATCGAATAATATGTATAAATTCAGTCGGGCATCAGCCGTCAAACGAGTCGGACGAATGATAAATAACTTTTATCGAGTTAATATATAATTAATATAATAAATGTTTATTTTTTCCGGTGAAATTTTGTGATACTAATTGTAAATTACAATGAAATTTATAATTTTTATTTTTTTTGGATTATTTACGACCGGTTTTACTCAACTAGAAGGTAATTTTTATCATTGCAAATAAAGATTGTGATTGGATAATTGTTGCTATTGTTTTTAAACTATCCGATAATTGGACTTGACCTTCAGTTTTTTTTTTTTTTTCTTAATAATTTAAGAAACATTTTTTTATTAGGAATTTAATATTAATATTAATAATTATCTGTCAGAAGGAAGTGAATGTTTATTAGAAAACGGCAGCCCTGGAGTCTGTACCAAGTTACCCGAATGCCCTCCAAAACTTGATGACGCAAGAAAAGGAAGACGGACCGCGTTATCAAGCCGTTGCGGCTTCGCTGGGTTCGTTGAAGTTGTTTGCTGTCCAGCTCCGGTCCAAGGAAAAATAAACATACGTCCGGCTGACATAGGCACGTAAAAATCCCAATATATTACTCACTCTTAAATACAAACAATCACTACTTGCGTCACAAAAACTTCCAAGGTCACTTTTCAAAATTTAATTATTCACTTTTTTAGTTTTTATTTTTGGAAGTTTTTAGAGTCATTTTTTTGGAGTATATTTAATTACCTTTCATTTGAGTACCATGTCGATTTTTTATTATGTGTACTCCGACACACATGACACACATGACGCACATGTGTGTCATATGTGATAATAACACATCATGGTACTCAAATTAAAGGGAATTTTATTATTTTTTACGCCGGATACTTTAAAATATATTTTATCCAATAATAATAATAATAATAATAATAATAATAATAATAATTTTTTTTTATATCCACCCACGTAAATTGAGACGATTTTTGATAAATGATATTCTGACCTAGTTTGCATTTTATCAAATCATTTAAAAATAATAATAATAATAATAATAATAATAATAATGATAAAATTAAAAAAAATTTTTTTTTTTTTTTTAGCATGTCACGATTACGAAAATGAAATTCTTTCGGGAATTGAAAGACTGACCTGGCACATTTTAGCGGGAATTGAAGCAGCTTCTGAAGAATTTCCCTATATGGCAGCCCTAGGATATGTCGATAAGACATCAAGCGAAGTTACCGACGATAATAGCGAAAGAAAAATTATAAAAATTAAATATGCATGCGGGGGTACTATTATTGCACCGCGGTTTGTTCTCACTGCAGCGCACTGTGTTAGTAATCATAATGAGGATGTTCCTGTTTTAGTAAGTGAATTTAAAAATAGCTGTAACTGTTAAAAAAATTAGATACTTACATAAATTTTTCTAGGTCAGGGTAGGCTCCGTAGACCTGGAGTCCAAAGACGAGCAGACAATCCCCATAAAGGAAATAATTGCGCATCCTAAGTACAGGCGGAGCACAATGTACTACGACATTGCCCTGCTGAAGCTGTTCGAGGCCATAAACTGGTCCAAAACCGTGAAGCCGATCTGCTTGCAGACCAAATCTATTAACGAGACCGACTTGCAGGTCGTTGGAACCTACCTCGTGGTCGTCGGCTGGGGACACACTGACATTGACGCTGACCAGTCTACCAAACTTCTTAAAACTCCCAGTCTTATGTAAGTTAATTTAAAAAATAAATAATTAATTACTATATTGTTAAATTGCACTGTATTTTCTTAAATATTGAAGATATTAAAGATATAAGCTCATCCTGATGTTAAACTCGTCAAGAGCTTTCATTAGAGTACCCACACGGAAAAAACAAAATGACACTGGATATAATCCGAGATTATACTGCATGATATCTGGATTATACTAATTGTAATCTGGATTATACTAGCTACTATCTGAAATTTTTTTTATGAAAAATTGATGTGGGTACTCAAATGAAAGGTCTTGATGAGTGTAACATCAGGATGAGCTTATATATTAAAAAATGTCAATAGTTTGCGAGATACAAGGTCATTTTATCATTTGACAAATTTTTCTTATTTTCTTAATAATATAGATAAAAAATTAATTTTGCAAATTTTAAAGATTGGAACCAAGAGAAAATTGTTCCACGGCTTACCAACGATTCAGACAGCTTCCCTACGGCCTGGACGAAAGGATGATCTGTGCCAAGGACCCGAACACTACTCGCCGAGCCGATGCCTGCCAAGGAGACAGCGGAGGTCCTCTTCTGCTGTTATCTTCCTCTGGGGACACTGTTATAGGAGTCACGTCATTTGGTCAGAGCTGCGGGGGTCCCTATGCCGCTGTTTATACTTCCGTTCATTCTTTTATTGATTGGATTGAAAGCATCGTCTGGCCTGAAAGAATTATTTAAAAATTTTATTTAGTTTTTTTAATTACAAGGAAATGATAAAAAGTTTTGAAAAATTATAATTAATTAATTAATTAATTAATTACTTATTTGTTTTAATAATTATTAAAACAAAAAAATTTCCTAGTATTTACTCAAAATTTGACCTTGAAATTAATTTACAAAATTAAAAAAAATTACAAAAGATATTTTTCTGTAGATAATTTAATCATCTACAAATTTCATCCCAAATTTTTTTTTTTTTTAGCATCGATATTTTATCTTTAATCTTGATTTTAAATAAAGCAAAAAAACTATTTCCTTAAAAATTTACAAGACAAAAAAAAACTACTTGCTTATGAATCTCTTAATAGTCCAACGTCCACATAAACTCTGCATAGAACACATTTATTCATCTCAAGTACTGTATGCGCTTCCCACTCCTCCAATATAATGATAATTCTTACGTAACTAATGATTGAACGCAATAACCAACTAAGGTCAGTCTAGAAAACACTCTACTATAGTTAACAGCTTATTTTTCTGTAAGTAAATTTTAAAACTAAACCATTCTAATTTTTTAATTAAATTTTTCGAAAAATAATTAACCTATAGACCTAGATTTCATCATTTAGAAAAAAAAAAAAAAAAAAAAAATTCATAATTTACTTACCAATAATAACAGCAAAACTTGTTAATTTTAGGCAATGGAGGTTGTGACAATTTTCCTAACGGCCTTAGCCATATTATTAACGTACTTCATAATCCGCCAGATGACCTACTGGTCGTCAAGAAAAGTTCCTCACCTGCGACCAATTCCTTTGATCGGCAACACAACTTCCTTTTTCACCGGTTCGCAGTCTCCCGCGGAATTTTCCCGCCAAATTTACCTAAAGCACCCTGAAATTCCTTACATCGGTTTGATGAGCTTCAACACACCAGTTTTGCTGATAAACTCTCCGGAACTGATCAAAGAGATCTTCATAAAGAACTTCGACAACAATCCGGACCACTTAAGCTTCATAACAGAAGAATTTGACCCGATTTTGGGCAAAAATGTGTTTTCTCTCCGGGGCGACAGATGGCGCCAAGTGAGAGGTGCGTTGACGCCGACGTTTACTGCAACGAAGATGAAGTTTTTGTTTACGCTGATGGCAGAAGTCTCGAAGAACGTGATCAATTATTTAGAAGATCATCCTCAGGATTGCGAGTTGCTAGATGCTAAGGATCTATTCACCAGGTATGCTAATGATGTAATTGCAACTTCGGCCTTTGGACTGTCCGTTGACTCATTAAAGGACAGGACAAATGAATTCTACCTCCGCGGGAAGGACGCGACAAACCTGACCGGGATATCCAGGATCTTCAAGTTTGTAATGGGGATGATGTTTCCCAGGATTATGCGCCTCCTGGGGCAGAGTTACCTCAGCAAGGACACCAACAGGTTCTTCGTGGACCTGATCCGGGAGGAAGTGAAACGTCGGGACCTGGAAAAAGTTGTCCGGCCGGATATGATCCACCTCCTGATGCAGGCCAGAGGCAACAACATTGGAAGCAACGACATCGTCGCTCAGGCGTTCATCTTCTTCCTTGCTGGGTTCGACACCACTTCCACGCTGATGAGCTTCGTCATCCACCAGCTGGCCTTCCATCAAGACATCCAGGAGAAGTTGCACCAGGAGGTCGAGTTCCTTGAAGAAATCAACTATGAAGATCTAGGGAAGCTCAAGTTCCTGGAGATGATCATCCTGGAGACTTTAAGGTTCTTTCCTCCAATAGTGCTCCTGGATCGCGTCTGCTCCAAGAGGTTCAAGCTTCCACCTCCACCGGGAAGTTCAACCCAGCTTGACGTTGAAGAGGGCACTGTCCTCTGGGCTCCGACTTTTGCCATGCAGAGGGATAACAAGTACTTTCCCGACCCTGAGACTTTTGACCCTGAAAGATTCGCGGAGGAAAACAAGGGAAATGTTGATCCTTGTGTCTATATGCCCTTTGGGGTTGGACCCAGGAAGTGCATTGGGGAAAGGTTTGCTATGATGGAGATCAAGCTGATGCTCGCTAGGCTGGTGAAGAACTTTCGGATCCTTCCGAGTGAGAAATCTAACAAGGAGATTGTTTTTGATAAGAAGAGTCTTAATTTAGTGCCTAAAGGAGGAATTTGGGTGAAATTCGAACGGAGGAAGGTTTAAAATAGGATTTTTTTGGTCTAGGGATTTTTATTTAAAACAAAGTGAGTGGAATTTTTGAAATCCTGAGAAAATTACCAAAAAAATGACGTATCGCACGAGCCAATTCGTCGCAGGTCGATTTTTGATTAATGATCTATAGATCATTTGATAAATTATTAATGCGATTTTTGGGAGGAACAAATATTAATCAATAAGGGTTGTGTAGCTACTTATTTTAATCAGTATTTGAAGATCTAGGTCGGAGTATTAATAATTATTAAATAAAAATTAAATAATTATTTTTATTTAAATAAAAAAAATTACACTTTAAATTTCAAAATTGCAATATTTATTACTTTCCAATTTTTAAAGATCGTATTTTTAAATAACCTCCTTTTTACACGGAAAAAAATGAATATAGTAAATGCATTATGATGATATCATGTTACAGCAACATGATTTGCCATGTTTTGACTGCATATGACAATCATGTTGCGGTAGCATGAATAAATCATGTAGCAGCAACATGATGTTCATGTAGCCTTAATAGCATAAAATTAACCTGCAAAAATTAAATCATATAGCCGAAATATGAAAATCATGTTGCTGGAACATGATTTTTCTCATGCTACCGCAACATGATTGTCATGTAGCCGAAACATCGCAATTAATTTAACTGCAACATGATTTCATCATGTTCATTTACCAAAACTGCATCATGTTGCATTTACTATTTATTTTTTTCCGTGTAATATTACGTTATTTTAGGTGTTCAAATTTTTCATTTATTTATTTTTTGTTAATTCATCCAATTTATAATTATTATTTTTTTTTTAAATTTTTGATCATACGAATAAATTTATTCAGAAATTTCCATTTTTATTTTTTTAATATCAACTAATGTAAATTTAACATTTACTTTTTGTTGAATCATTACAAAATAAAAAGATGTTAAATATTTAACAAAAAATTTATTGACGCAATGACCTAAAATTTACTGAGTATATTTACATTTTAACATGGAAATTAATTCGTACTATTCATTTTTTATAAAATAAATAAAGAGTTCATCAGAGATAATATAAAAATTATAATATTAAATATAAGAATATTAATAAGGAGTAAACATTCTCTAAAAAATTTTTAAAAAATCAATTTATTACTCTCAAAGAAGTCAATAACTAAACTTCTAAATTTTCGACAATGGAGGTTGTGACAATTCTCCTAACGGCCTTAGCCATCTTATTAACGTACTTCATAATCCGCCAGATGACCTACTGGTCGTCAAGGAAGGTTCCGCACCTGCGGCCAATACCTCTGCTCGGTAACACAAGTTCAGTATTCACCGGGAGGCAATCTCCTGCGGAATATTCCCGAGAACTTTATCTTCAGTACCCTGAACTTCCTTACATCGGTTTAATGAACTTCAACACACCAACTTTACTTATCAACTCTCCGGAACTGATCAAAGAGATCTTCATAAAGAACTTCGACAACAATCCGGACCACTTAAGCTTCATAACAGAAGAATTCGACCCGATCCTGGGCAAAAACGTGTTTTCCCTCCGGGGTGAGAGATGGCGCCAGGTGAGAGGTGCGTTGACGCCGACGTTTACTGCGAAGAAGATGAAGTATTTGTTTACGCTGATAGCAGAAGTCTCGAAGAACGTGATCAATTATTTAGAAGATCATCCTCAGGATTGCGAGTTGCTGGATGTTAGGGATCTATTCACCAGGTACGCTAATGATGTAATTGCAACTTCGGCCTTCGGATTGTCCGTTGACTCCTTAAAGGACAGGACAAATGAATTCTACCTCCGCGGGAAGGACGCGACAAACCTGACCGGGATATCCAGGATCTTCAAGTTTGTATTGGGGATATCGTTTCCCAGGATGATGCGCCTCCTGGGGCAGACTTACCTCAGCAAGGACACCAACAGGTTCTTCATCGACTTGATCCGGGAGGAAGTTAAGCGTCGGGACCTGGAGAAGGTCGTCAGGCCGGATATGATCCACCTCCTGATGCAGGCTAGGGGCGACAACATTGGAATTAACGACATTGTCGCCCAGGCGTTCGTCTTCTTCCTTGCTGGGTTCGACACCACTTCCTCGCTGATGAGCTTCGTCATCCACCAGCTGGCCTTCCATCAAGACATCCAGGAGAAGTTGCACCAGGAGGTCGAGTTCCTTGAAGAAATCAACTATGAAGATCTAGGGAAGCTCAAGTTCCTGGAGATGATCATCCTGGAGACTTTAAGGTTCTTTCCTCCAATAGTGCTCCTGGATCGCGTCTGCTCCAAGAGGTTCAAGCTTCCACCTCCACCGGGAAGTTCAATCCAGCTAGACGTTGAAGAGGGCACTGTCCTCTGGGCTCCGACTTTTGCCATGCAGAGGGATAACAAGTACTTTCCCGACCCTGAGACTTTTGACCCTGAAAGATTCGCGGAGGAAAACAAGGGAAATGTTGATCCTTGTGTCTATATGCCCTTTGGGGTTGGACCCAGGAAGTGCATTGGGGAAAGGTTTGCTATTATGGAGATCAAGCTGATGCTCGCTAAGTTGGTAAAGAAGTTTTGGATCTTCCCCAGTGAGAAATCTAACAAGGAGATTATTTTGGATAAGAAGAGTCTTAATTTAGTCCCGATAGGAGGAATTTGGGTGAAATTCGAACGGAGGAAGGTTTAAAATAGGATTTTTTTGGTCAAGGGATTTTTATAAAACAAAGTGAGTGGAATTTTTGAAATCCTGAGAAAATTACCAAAAAAAATGACGTATCGCACGACTTTATTGGCCGCAAGTCGATTTTTCATTAATGATCTATAGATCGGTTAATAAAATATTAATCAATTAATTTGCTATTAATTTTTATTTAAACATATAAGTGTTTGTACTTATTTTACTCGCGCTGACAATTTCTAGGTCGCAGCCTGCGTGGATTTTTATATTTCTTCCAAAAATTTTTTAGTGTAATTTATGTAATTATAATAAAGAAACTAATCAAAGTAGTTGTGGTGTTTAAAGATGTCGAGGATACCCCAACAATCGTCGTCGCTTGGGTGAGGCCGAGATCGATGGTAAGGAGGAATAATAATTGGCGCTGGAGTCGTTGTGGAAGTTGTAGTCGGTGTTATCGTAGTAGATGTTGTTGTTGTAGATTTAAGTTCACATTTTTCCTGGAATTCATGCCAATCAGCAATCATTGGTCCCATCAACTCGTCCAAACCGTCGAGATTTTTAATAAATCTTCGGTTAATCGCTCTCAATTCAGTGGTGATACATCCTAATAAAAAAAAATAAATAAATATTTTTAAAAAACAGCGAAGAAAAATAATATAAACTTACGTCTGCGGCAGAAAGTAGAAACTCGCGTATCGAAGACATCAATGACGTACCGCTGGAAGTAAGATTTCAGTGCTTGGGTAGTAAAATTTATAAGAGCGGTTTTGATACTCGGAATCTTCTTACAAAGTTCCATTTCTGTCTGATATTTCTGAAAAATATAAAAAAATTAGTTAAAAGCCCGATTTATGGGTTAAAAAAATTTTTTAGAACAAAGTGAGTATGTTATTTGAAATCCTGAGGAAATTTCTGAAAAAATGACGTATCGCATGAGCCGATCGGCCGCAGGTCAATTTTTGATTGATGATCTATAGATCATTTGATAAATTATTAATGCGATTTTTCGGAGGAACAAATATTAATCAATAAGGGTTGTAGGTACTTATTTTAATCAGGATTTGAAGATCTAGGTCGCAGTATTAATAATTTTTTAAAATACAAAACTTTTTTTTTCATTAATGATTAATAAGGCGATTAATGGGCCTAGGAAATTTTTTTAAAATAAACTAATTAAAAATTATTAATCTTCGATAACTCCCGAGTAAAATGAGCCGTCCCACGGCTCGTTTGGTCGCAGGTCAATTTTGATTAATGATCTATAGATCGGTTAATAAAATATTAATCAATTAATTTGCTATCAATTTTTATTTAAACATAGATAGATAGATAGATAGATAATAAATTTTATTTGATCCTGGAGTTCCTTCTAAGCTCCTTCAGGACCATCAACAATACATAAAGTTAATTATTTACAAGTATACATTTGATATATACAGCATTTGCAATACAATTTGAAAATCAACATTAATTAATAGCTATTATCTTAACTTATAAGATCAATGGTAATCATATTGATTGCAAGAAGAATAAATTAAAACAAGCTTGCTTAAAATTTTCAAAGGTGTCAATTTCTGTAATATCTCCCGGTTAATGAATTCCAAATTCTTATGCCATGAATTATTAGGAAAGAATTTTCATAGATAGCAGAATTACTTCTCGGTAAACGCAGATAGTCATTCCTGACGTCACCTCTCCTCAATGCAATTTTGGCAAAAATTCTAATTTTGATCTAAACAATTGATTATAATTTAATTAATTTAATTTTTTTATAAAATATAGACAAGCTATGAAATAATTTCTTCTCGCGTTAAGTTTTAACCATCAGCCCAATTCTTTATAATATGGAGTAGTGTGCTCGAATCTCGAAATTTTGAAAATATACCTAATGCAAGAATTTATTTTACGCTGCAATCTATTCTGTAATTTGCTTGATATATTCGTGTAAGCAGCACAACAGTAATCGAAGATGGGAAAAATCAAAGTCATGACCAATTTTATGCGTAATTGTTCATTAAAAATTTCGTTATTGATTTTCAATTGCGCCAACGCAATTTTCATAGCACGATTGCATACACTTGCGACTTGATTTTACCATGTTAAAGTATTATCAATGATGACGCCCAAGTATTTAACCGTTTTAACATACGAAATCACATGATCACTCACAACTACATTTTGGGCATTTTTACAATAATCACTGTTAATTTTTTGCCTACTTCCAAGAATAATAGCACTTATTGTTTTTAAGGCATTTAATTTCAGACAGTTGAAACTCTACACCAATAATCGATAATCTTTTGTATTTCATCATTCAGCATAATAACATATTCATTTATTTGCGACAGGCAACAAAAAAACATGAAGTATATATAATTAGATCGTCTGCATAGAACAAATATTGATAATTTAATCGCTTAGCAAGATCAGCAATGTACAGAGTAAAAAGTAAAGGACCGAGCACACTACCCTGGGGTACGCCGTTCTGAATATCTTTCCAAGTCGATTTGTTGTTGTTATAATAAACCGACTACCTTCTCTGAGTCAAGTAAGACTTTATCCAATTTATTGTTAAGTCTGAAAAGTTCATATGTGATAATTTATGCAATAATATTTCATGGTTTACTGAATCAAATGCCTTACTTAAATCAAAGAGGACAGCTATGGTTATTTGAGATTCATTCATCGCAAAATGTATGTCATCGGAGAATTTAACTACCGCAGTCTGTGTATTTAAACCTTCTCGAAAACCCGTTTGATATTCATCAATGTAATTATTATCAGTAATGTATTTTACAATTTGATCATGCACACACCTTTCTAACGCTTTTGATAAATTGGATAATAGTGAAATCGGCCGAAAATCAGTACAATCAGAGGCATTAGGCCTTTTCGGGATTGGTATTATACATGCGACAGTTTCCACTCCACCGGGAATACCCCCGTAGTTAAAGACTTATTGAATAATTCTGTTAGTAGCGGTAATAGGAATGGCAATGTACATTTGTATGCTTTAATTGAGAAGTTATCGGGTCCTACTGAATTTGACGTTAAGCGCATTACCGATTTTTTAACAGTGACCGAATTTAGTTCTGAGAAATTAAACACATTGTCATTACTTCTTATCAATGCAATATCTTGGACATCAACAGGTCCGTTATGAAAGCTACCTGACTGTATGAAAAAATCATTTAAGTCATCCAAATCTATTCTTATTACCGCTTCTGCACTTTTTCGTTTCACTAAGCCTAATTTTCTTAAGTCATTCCACATTTCACGAGAGTTTTTTGCTCTGTGTAATTGCTGATCAAAGTATCTTCTTTTCTCCTCACTTATCCGATTTTTCACCAGACGCCTTACATCTACATATTCCTTATATGCGTAGCCGGTCCTTTTAAATATTCGATAAAGTTTGTCGCGACGGCTCTGAAGTTCTTTAATTTGATGTGTGAACCAGGGTGCTGGTGGCCGACGCGGGCAAATAGTTTTCTCTGGTGCCACGGTGTCAATAACTTGGCTTAGATGTTTGTGTAGATAGTTATTCATTTCATCCACTGTCTCAAAAGATCTCATTGTATCAATATCAATGTCATCACACAAGTTTTGCAGCATGTCGTCGTCAACCGCATTCCAATTTCTATACGAGAAGTTGTTTAATCGCTGTCGACCAACTTTATAATTATATGTTAGGGATATCAATTCATGGTTTGACAGAAATGGCTGCGAAGACTGTTCTGAATCCAAAACTTTTTTATGATCGTCAACAATGCAGACATCTAGCCATGAATCCGAATTTTCCAGGTGATGAGTTGAATGGTACTCAACAATTTTCAAGTTAAAGTCTTCGCAGAGACAGCGAAGTTGATCCCCGTAAAAGTTCTTCTTACTTAGATCAGAATTGAAGTCACCTAGTATAATAATATTCCTATAAGATGCCGTGATAGCCTCGAGTTCGTCCTCGAGATCATCAAGATGACTGGTATTTGGAGGTTTGTACACAACACCGACGACAACCTTATCCCTCGAAGTTCCTGATATTTCTACGAATATATACTCTGGATGTTTATCTTCCGTGTTAGCTGAAGATAACACATGTTTGGATACCAGGTCATTCCTAACGTAGAGAGCAACTCCACCACCACTTCGTAGATGTCGATCATGACGGTACAGCATAAATGATGGTAACAAAACAAGATCGTCAGATATTAAATGGTTAAGCCACGTCTCAGAGACTGCAATGACGTCGTATCTATGTGTCCTGAAGTATTCTTTAAATAACTCAAAATGTTGTTCGTTTCTAAGTGACTGGGCATTGATGTGACATAATTTTAGGGAATTTTTATGATGTCGATGCACTGTAGTAGGAGAAGAATCAGGAATCCTATTTGCTGATGGCGAAGAAGGAGCTGCGAGTTGTTAGTTAATTAAGCCCTCTAAAGGGCTTAGCCCTGTCGAAGGCAGAAGCTTGACTGGTGGTTTGTCGTCTGCATATCTTATATTTACTAAGGAATGAGAGATCCAAATATTTTTCAGCGGAATATTTGGGTATCTTTTGCGCACGTCTTGACGAAGTTTATAAAGCGACGGTGGATGTCTTCGATGCAAGTAAACCACTGCTCCTGGCAATTCGGCATCTCGTAGCAATTCACCTACTTTAACCGAGTTACCTTTAATATTACTCATAAGGCTGTCAACATGTCTCTGGTTATTAAATTTCACACGAATATTGCGATCATTTCGTCCGTGACGACCGAGCCGCTCAGCTTTAACGATTTCATTCTCTGCCACCGAGACCTTGAGTTTCTTCGTAAGCTTAGTTATAACATCAGTCAACTTTTCACCAACTGATTCAGGGATGCCACCTAGAATAATCTCATCAGCTAGCAACTGCGACTCTAATTGGAGTGTTCTAAGCTCAAGATTGCTATCAACAATACTTTGAGCCGCAGCTTTTACTTCCGCAACAATATTATTGTCAACACCTGGCTTACTCTTTTCCACCTTTAAAACGCGGTCTTCTAACAATTTAACGCTTTTCTTTATTCCACTGTAATCAGTAGCTAGTTTATCAATTTTCTCCTGCATTGAGTCAATTTTCTTCGTTAAAGCATCTATTTTCTGTTCAATATTGTCTATTTTATCTATTTTATCTATTTTATCTAGTTTATCTAGTTTAGCATTTATACTCTCCAACGCACTTGAATAATTGATAGGACACACTGGACACTCCCCAACTATTTTTCCAGCTGCACGCGCTTTATTTGGTAAATTGCAGCGCGTCTTGACACAGAAGTCATGGAAATAGTGTTTACACTCAGCGCCAGTTTGCACGAGTGCACTTGAGTCGGTAACATTTTTCATACAGAGCGCGCAGCAGGCAGTCATTTTGTTACTACTAGATGGCAGCAGATACAGAAATTCTAAATTCACGAATTGTATATATATATATTTTCTAAATGAATGTCTCTAACCTCGCTGATAATGACAAATATACTTTTATAATTTCAGAATAGGAGAACCCGTATAATACGTAAATTATTATTACAATATGTTCCCCGATTTTTAAGCCACAGTTAGGAACAAAATTTAACTTATAATAATAATAAATCTAAAGACAGATATATGGCAAAGTAAAAACACTGTGAATAAATTACGTCCACACTGTACAACTGTATACTGTATACAACTGTATACAACTGTATACTGTATAACATACAAGTGTTTATACTCATTTTACTCGGGCTGACGATTCCCAGGCCGCAGTATGCGTGGATTTTTGAATTATTCCAGAAAAAATTTCTCTTACCTGCATGAGCTCGCCAACAGTCACAGCAAATTCTTTGTAAATGTCGTTAATGTCAGAAGTGAACGCCGGATCGACTTTAGCTTCCCAGTCGAAGATTTTATCAGGGTTGCAAGCGAACCTCGTCAAGGTACCGGGGACAATGTTCCGGACTGTGTTCTCGTTCAGGCTTTTCCAGTAGAAGTTGATTTTATTCTTCTCATCCACCATCTTGATACCCGCCTTCTTGTCAGCCAGTGCCTCGAAGTTTATCATACGGAGGAGATCTTCTCCAGGGAATTCGTACAAACTATCTCCAGTCAAAGCTTTCTGCGCCATGAAAGTGTTGAACTCCTCCAAAATTTGGTTCAGCTTATCTCTTCTGCCGTAATAATTAAGCAGAAAATCTCTTCGATCGCACGCGCCTTTTGCCAGAACTTCTGTCTCGTATATAAAATCATCGTACAGTTCGGCGTTGCCCACTTTTGCGTCATTTTTCGAGATTAATATCACGAAAAATAATAAAGTTAAAATCTTCATGGTTAATTCTTAAAATTAAAACTAAAACCAAGAAATTATTTGCTGGTGGTTAAATAGAAGAAGTGTAATTAAATAAAAGAAGAATACTAGGCCAGCTTTGTCATTAATTTTTAATTAACACCTAAAGCTGTTAATGACTTTGATTAAAGGTGATTAATGGTCTATAATTACAATTAAGAAGCTAAAACGTAGAAGGTCGATTTATTGATAAAATTTGAAGTAAATTAAATAAAATTTTTATAAAATTTTATAATTAACGTTAATAAAAATTGTATTTTTTTTTTTTTGAAAAATTCAGTTCTATTAGCGACCTAGAATTTTTTATCCCGAGTAAAATGAACCCCCACATGCTGGGTAAATTTTCAAGGTTTGATACAAAAAATCGCGTTAATAATTTATCAAATGATCTATAGATCATTAATCAAAATTGACCTACGACCAAATGAGCCGTGAGACGGCTCATTTTACTCGGGAGTTATCGAAGATTAATAATTTTTAATTAATTTATTTTAAAAAATTTCCTAGACCCATTAATCGCCTCATTATATAATCATTAATGAAAAAGAAAAAGGTTTGTATTTTTTAAAATTATTAATACTGCGACCTAGATCTTTAAATCCTGGTTAAAATAAGTACCTACAACCCTTATTGATTAATATTTGGTCCTCCCAAAAATCACATTAATAATTTATCAAATGATCTATAGATCATTAATCAAAAATCGACCTGCGGCCAATTGGGCCGTGTGATACACGTCATTTTTTTTGGATTTTTAAGGAGATTACAACTTGCTTATTAGTTTATCTTTAAAATCAATCGTTGGGTTATTAATCACCAAAAATAATAACTAATTTATTCAAATAAAAATAATTTATTCACAATTAACAAATTACAATTTAATTCATATTCTCCATAAAATTATTAATAATTTTAAGCGGCGTTCTAATAACATTTCCCACAAATTTGAAAAATGGAAGCTCATTTAAGTTATCACCACCAGCTGGCGCTGGAGCTGCAGGAGCTGCAGGAGCTTTCTTGACGTTGGCAATAGAATAAAACTTGGAGTTCAGATCATAGACCTTGAGACTAATGAACCCTCCGAAGCCCTTAGCACCTCGATGGAACAACCCGGCACCTTTGAGCGGAACCAAGGGCGTTCCCAGAACATCAAACCCATCAAAGAACGGAACCGTGGACTGTCCGGCGTCTTTACGGAAGTCCGAAGCCTGGAACCTAACAAAATGGGTGCTAGCAGACAATTCGCTGTTCATCGGAGCCTTCATCGGGTTGTCGGGTTCGTAGAGCACCAGTTCGCAGTGGTCCTTTTTCCCAGCGGAGATCCACTGGGGATAGTTGTTCTCAAAAAAGTGGCCTTCTGCAAATACCAGGCTTCTGACCTGCAGCTGGAGTTCCAGGGAACCGGACTGGAGCACTGGACAGTCTAAATTATCTCCTGCGTACCGGAACCTCACTCCGGTGACTATGTAGTCCTTAGGAGCCATCACGTCGTCCAGGTTGATAGACGAAGCGTGGCCCCAGTCTTTACCAAGGGAAAGCGCCTTCATGCTTCCAGAGCTTGATTTTATGTAGAACTTTTGTTCCTGTTCATTGAACTCAAAGTTCTCCAAAGGTTTCCACGAGAAGGTTGATGCGTTGATTTTGCCGTAGGGCAAAAGACGCGCTTCCGCAATTTGGATGTGTAACATGTAGTCTTTTTTTACGAATCTTAAACCTACGACGACTCTGAAATATAAAATTGTTAAATTGTACTGTACTTTCTTAAATATTGACATTTTTAAATATATAAGCTCATCCTGATGTTATACTCATCAAGAGCTTTCATTTGAGTACCCACACGGAAAAAAAAAACAAGATGACACTGGATATAATCCCAGATTATACTCAGTGATATCTGGATTATACTCATTGTAATCTGGATTATACTAGCTACTATCTGAAATTTTTTTTATAAAAAATTGATGTGGGTACTCAAATTAAAGGTCTTGACGAGTGTAACATTAGGATGAGCTTATATCTTAAAAAATGTCAATATTTCACAATAAGATATAAGGTCATTTAATAATCATTACTTGTTATTATTATTATAGAAATCCGAAGTCTGCTCCTTGAAGCTGACAGCCGTAAGAGTATGTGGATCGTGTTTAGGCTTAGAAACACAGGTACAAACACAATAATCGCAGGAAGTGGGTGACAAGGACCAGAAATCTACCATACTGGAAAATGACTTGGTCCTATTGTCGCAAGCAGAAGGGGTTCCATAGATCATGTCATTTTCATCCTTGACCCAATCGTACCTCCTCTTGCTATTTTGAGCTTTGCAGACGTCAAATTTCCGGGAAATAAACTTGCACTCGGTGTAACCTTGGCACTCTCCTCCTGTGTTAATGCTGACCTTCGAAAGGTCGCAATTGTGCGAGCAGCTTCCGGTTTTATCCATTTCCTTCTCGCTGACTATCTTAACTTGATAAGCTCGCTCTAATTCAATGTAAGGAGCGGGAGAAGGTGGCGCTGGAGGTGCCGGAGGCGCTGGAGGCTTCTTATTGTATGGATTCATATACGGAAAATTTACTCCTCCGCAAGGATTTACGGAATATCCAGGGAATGAAGGAGTCATCGGCTTTGGCGCGTCGCACTTTTTAATGTAAGCCGTAAATTCTTCCATGGTTTTAGATATCAAATTTTTGTAGGCTTCGACGTTCTTCAAAAACTGGTCCTTCAATGCTTCAAGCTCTGCATTTACGCAAGCTGAAAAAATCGCTTAAATTTAAGCACCAAGTAAAGTTATTTTATATTTTTTTATTAAAATACTTACAATTCTTGCACTGGTTAGTAACATTCACCTCGTAAGAAGTAAGAATATACTTCTGGATATGTGCCTTCATCCCCTGCTGGGAGAAAGCCATCAATTCCTTCTGAAGAGTCTCTTTAAAATCGCAAATATTGAGCTTGCTTTCGTATTTCTGCAAAAAAACGCAAAAATTAAGCGCCAGGAATTTTTTAGAACAAAGGGAGTAAGTTATTTAAATTCCTGAGAAAATTTCAAAAAAAATAACGTATCGCACGACCCGATCCGCCGCAGGTCGATTTTTGATTAATGATCTATAGATCATTTGATAAATTATTAATACGATTTTTGGGAGGAACAAATATTAATCAATAAGGGTTGTAGGTACTTATTTTAATCAGGATTTAAAGATCTAGGTCGCAGTATTAATAATTTTTTAAAATACAAACCTTTTTCTTTTTCATTAATGATTAATGAGGCGATTAATGGGTCTAGGAAATTTTTTTAAAATAAACTAATTAAAAATTATTAATCTTCGATAACTCCCGCGTAAAATGAGCCGTCTTACGGCTCATTTGGTCGTAAGTCAATTTTGATTAATGACCTATAGATCGATTAATAAAATATTAATCAATTAATTTCCTATTAATTTTTATTTAAACATACAAGTGTTTATACTCATTTTACTCGGGCCGACGATCCCCAGGCCGCGGCCTGCGTGGATTTTTGAATTATTCCAAAAAAAAATTTTTCTTACCTTTATTTTATCCTTCACCGTCATGACAAACTGCGCGTACACCTTATTTATATCTCCGTTGCATAATTCCGCATCTACATTATGTCTCCATTGAAAGTACTTGCTCAAATGGTCGCAGCCAAATCCCAGGTAGGTATCAAAGTCGCTCATCTTGGTGATCTTGTCAATTTCGGTCCAGTACTTGCCGATTTTCTTCATCAGGTGCATCAGCTCGAAATTGAACTGCATCGCCTGCATGTCGTAATAATCCAGCTTCTCAATTATAGATCGCCAGAGGAACTCGTTGGTGGCGTTGTCTACGTTGTCGTACTTGCACATGACCTTCCTCATGTCCTTAAGGGTGTTCCCGACGGTGAACCTCCGTTGCCAATTCGTAATCGGGAACTCGGTCACACAATTTCCCTTCAATTTAGTCTCTACCTTGCTGACGAAAGCCGCGTAAGGGTCCAGGTCGTCGGACCTCAGGAACTCCTCCAGGAGGCAATTGCTCCAGGAGAAGGTCAGCACCACAATTGTGACACTTAATATCACTCTCATTTTAGTTTTTTAATTCAACACTTGGAAATTCGAGTTTCGACTGATGAAGTTTTCTTCCGGGCGTTTTTATATAAGATGGACTATAAAATATTTTAGCTAGGGTAAATAAAAAACATTTGGTGGTATTTGATAATAGTAATTATTAGATTGTTTGATTATTTATTTATTACGGTAATTTTGTGCTCGGGTGATAAAAAGATAGCGCGCGGCTTAATAGATTATATAGGTGATAAAATGGGTTTTTTCTTATAAAATAGAAGCGTGATAGAAATTATTTTTAGTGTGATTTAATATTTCGAAAGTTTGGATTATTATTTTAGGTAAAGGACGCATAGAAGGTCATTTTACAAAATTTTATTCTCTACTCAAAAGATCTTCAGTTCTTTTGCTCGAATTTAGAAAATTGTTCAAGGTTATTATCCCAAAGTAACATGTGCTTGAGCAAGATTTTGGTGCCAGCGTCTTGAGCAAAACCCCCTAGTTGCTAGTGTCTTTTTCTACACATATGGGTCTTGCTCAAGTTTATTTAAAAAGACATGGTTCAAGATTTATATATAACTAGCTCAAGACATCTTGTGGAAGAATATGAGACAAGTCTAAAGCAACCCTGGTGCATTGAAAAACTTTCTGACGCATTTTTTGTACCAGAAACTCACATCAAAGACTTATCCATGAGTTAGTTGCTCAACATTTGCTCAAGATCCATAATTCTCAGAAATCCACTGATTCTATACTAAATATAGGAGGGGTAGAATGATGCGAACGCGTTCATTCGAAAACATTTTATCTTGAGCAAATCTTAAGCAACTCTTGCACAAGTATATTTAGCATGCTTCTGGTGTCAGTCTTTCTCAAGACTAGAGCTATAATCTGGCCCAAAGATCTTGTACAAAGCTTGTAAATTAAATTTGCTACAAGTATCTGGAGCAAGACCCATAGGTATTAGAAAAAGACACTAACAACTATCGAAATTGAGACCAGATTTGCTCAAGCCTTGTAATAGATTGCTATATAGGTTGTTAGAATTTTGATAAGATATCGACCTACCATCAAATAAGTCGTAAGATGACTCATTTTACTAGAAATGAGATAGACATTAAAAATATCTAAATAATTTATTTAAAAAAAATTTTTTTAACCCATTTGATGACTAATTAAAATTATGAAAAAAAAAAAAAGTTTGGAATTTTTTAAAATTAGTAATACTGCGACCTAGGGTTTGAAATCCCGAGTAAAACGAACCCCTACAATCCATAGTACTTAATAAATGTTCATACAAAAAATCGCATTTATAATTTATCAATTGATCTATAGATCATTATTGATCAAAAATTGACCTGCGGCCAATCGGGTCGTGTGATACGTCATTTTTTTCAGAATTTCAAGGAAAATAAAGGGGGTATATTAGTTTTTATGTAAAATCATTGGTTCGCTTAAAAATCCAGAAAATAATCAAATAAATTGAAAATTTTGCTTTTATTCAAAATTCTTTACAAAATTTTAATATTCAGAAAAAAAAAAAGTAAACATATTAAGATCGACCGCACGAAAGGCGAGGTATCCTCCATAGCCTTTGTGTCCACGGTGAAAGAGGCCCAGGCCCTGGAAGGGAACTGGAGGTGAAAATTCCACGTCTCTGCCGTCAAAGAAGGGCACTGTCGAGTGCCCAGCGTCTTTTTCGAAGTCTGAAGCTTGAAACTCGACTGTTTTTCCTGGAGTGACTTCCTGGAGCTCTTCGGGAGCCTTGTTAGGATCATCTGGATTCTCCAGCTCCAAATATTTCCTGGAATCAACAAAATTAATGCTCCATTCGACAATTTTTCAAAAACTTACTTTGTCAGTAAACTCGGGGGAACCCAGAATGATTTTTCAAGAAGTTTTCTTTCTACAAAATCAAACTTTGTTGCTTGGATCTCCAGCTGAGTGGTCCCGTGCTTACGAAAGGGCCGGACACCTGAGTCCCAGGCAAACCTGAACCTCACTCCGGTGACCAAGTACCCTGGTGGCGCCACCAGGTCCTCTAAATTTATCTTCTCAGCAGGTCCATAGTCTCTTCCAGGTGTCATCACCCGTTCTTTAGAATCTGCGGAGGGATTGACCAAATAAAAGCGGCTATTTTCTTCAGAGTAGTCAAAAGCCTCGAGATCCTTCCATTTTGTTGAATTAATTCCTCCATAAGGTAGAAGTTGTCCTTCTTTGATCTGCGCGTGGATCATCAAGTCTTTCTTCACGAACTTGACTCCAACTACGACCCTAAAAAATTTTTTAATAGTCACCATATGTTATTTCTCATAAAATTCCGCGTGAAATGGTGTATAACAACCCCTACTTTCGTTAAAGTTAAGTTGGGAAAAAATTATTTTAAAAAATACCGATTTTCATGTTCAACTCTTGAAGTCTCATACCGATATTTTTTAAAATTGCCGATCTTTTGGCATATTTAGACCCAGGAGGGTCTAAAAAAACAATCTATTAAAAAAAAAGTGCCGATTTCTATATCAGATCGGTAATTATTCCCAAAAAACCGATTTGAAACAAATATTGGTAATTAAAATTAACTACCTGTTATTTTTCACGTCAGATAGTTGATAACGGAAGCTTATCGCAGTGATTACTTGGCTCGACCATCTAGGTTATTTTCCCACACACGTACAAACACAGTAATCACAGAAATACCCATTGTACCATGTGTACTCTCTATTTAAGGTCACAGTATTCCCTTGACATACATTGTGCGCTCTACTCTGTTGACTCTTACCGTAGATATTTCCCTCGTTATCTTTTATCCATTCGTAAGATCTTGAACTGTTATTCTGTCGTCAGATTTCCAAAAATAAATTTAATTAAATAATTACAATCATAAAAAAAAAAAAATGTTGAATTTTTTTTAAATTATCAATACTGCGACCTAGAATTTTAAATCCCGAGTAAAATGAACCCCTACAACCCATAGTAATTAATTATGATTCATATAAAAAATCGCATTAATATTTTTATTAATGATCTATAGATCATTAATCAAAAATCGACCTGCGGCCAATCGGGTCGTGCGAGGTGTCATTTTTTTCGGAATTTCAAGGAGATTAATAGTGGCTGGTTATCTAAAACAATTACCAATAAACAAACATCATATCCAGAGGAAATATACCGACAATCGAGATATTTTGAACATTCGTATGTTTTTAGAGAACTTGCAATGCTTTGGAGGTCACAATTATGTTTGCAGGGCCTCGCAGAATTGCTCATCAGACTCGTCTCGTGGATGATTTTTGTCCTAATCAGCCTTTCCAGCTGGATTTTTAGGGCCTCCTGATCTCTTTCTTTCATTTTCAGCGGACAATCAAAGACATAATGACTCAAATTGGTCAGCGCAGTTTGCATTAATGTAGTGTAAGTCTTCGATTCGTTGAGGAATTGCTCGAGGATTTTAGTTTCTTTTTTGGATATGATTCGAGTACAGACTGCGTGGCCGAAATAAGAGACTATGAATCTCCGGAAGTGAATTGCTAAAATTACTTTGAAGTATCTGAACAGTCCAGCGCGGGAGGGGGGGGAGGGGGGGGCGGAATTTTACCGCAGAATTTTTTAATTTCAATGTAATATTATATATTATAAAAAAATATTTCAAACCTTCCAAACTTTGAATACTTCTTCAAAATACCCGGTCAAGTATATATAGTATTATTCCTATACTCTCCTTCCGATCCAAAAAGATGTTTGTTCTCCTTCATAACTTTAAACCCTTCACAAAATTGGGTAAATCCCAAATTCTGGCTGTCTGTTGCTAAACCCGGAAGCTGCTGGAGAAAATACACCACTGTGGAGTAAAAAATGTAAGCCTTGGTGTGCAAATCATTAAAAACTTCCTCAGTTCCCTTGCTCTTGCGGATGTGCTTCACCAGGAGCTCATGGAAGTCGTTCCACCGAGAAACGTGTCCGGACAGACCAGCACATCTCAGCTTAGTGTCCTCCAGAAGCTCCTGCACGTCCGAGAAAAAATTCACTTCGTCCCAATTAGAGGTTCCCGCTTCGAGTTCAGAGGATCAATTCAAAGTTAATTTAAACTCGACGTCTATCTTTTCAGTGAATTCTTCCGCGAAAGTTTTAAAGGAACTCTGCTTAAAGAGTTCTGGAGTTTATTTATCGAAAATTTATCGATAAGATTCGTGTAGAGTTACGAAAGTTGCAATGGAAAAATAAAAAATACAAGGTCAAAAAAAAAAAAATTGGCTTTTTCTAAAATATTAAGTTAAAAGACCTAGAACTTTTTATCCCGAGTAAAATGAACCCCCACAACCTAGATAAACTCCCAAGCTTTCCTAGAAAAAATCGCGTTATGAATTTATCAAATGATCTATATAGATCATTGATCTAAAATCGACTTATGACCAATCGGCTCGTGCGATACGTCATTTTTTTTCGGAATTTTAAGGAGATTAAAAGTGATCTATTAGTTTTGATGCAAAATCAAGGGCTGGCTCAATAATCACTAAAAATAACGTTTACTTTGAAGCTAATTAATTTTTATTACTAAGATTATAAAAAAATGTAATTCTAAGCTAAATTTGATTAATAAAAATTATGTGCCAGGGTTAGCGTTTGGTCCACGACGACGTCCGAAGGTAGGTACAACGGTTACAAACCTCCTGTTGTATTGGATGCGTCTCTTATTAGCACGTCCGGTTTTCTTCTTTGATTTTTCTTGTTTCTCAACCTATTAATTTATTATTTTATTAAATTTGTCATTAGTACAATTAATAAAATTATTTAAGATTAGATAAATTACCTTAGGAGTTTGACCCTTGACTTTACCAGCACGAGCTAAAGATCCGTGAACCTTAATATACCTAAAAAATAGTATTATATGATTAAAGGTTAATAAAAAAAATTGCATTCATTTTTTTTAAATTAGTCATACTGCGACCTAGGGTTCAAGCTCCCGAGTAAAATGAACCCCTACAACCCATAGTACTTAATAACTCTTCATATAAAAGATCGCATTCATAATTTATCAATTGATCTATAGATCATTAATCAAAAATCGACCTGCGGCCAATCTCGTCGTGCGATACGTCATTTTTTTTAGAATTTCAAGGAGAATAAAAGTGGCTTATTAATTTTTATGAAAAATTATATCTTGGCTTGTAAATTCTAAGCATTAATGAAAAAAAAAAAAAAAATTGAAAAATAATTGAAAATTGAAATTGAAAATACTGGAGTATCATCAGCCAATAAATGCCCGTTGCAACTCAAAGTAAACTCTGTTTCTCCAAAATCTTGGACTTGTGCGATTTTAATCTGCAAAATAAATTCAAATTAATTAATTAATTAGTTTATAAATATTAATTGAAATTAAAATAGTAAAATAATATTTTTAGCTAAAAAATATCAATAATAAATTTATTATTTATACCTTGAGATTAGAAACTAATTCGCTGTCCTGGCATTATTCTACCAAAAAGGTATTCTGTCCGCGGATAATCAGCTGCATTTTCTTTGTTTGCTAAAAAAAATGATTAATAATTTATTCCGGGAAAACGCTATTAAAAAATTAATAAAAAAAAATAAGCTTACAATTTTCTCATTAAAGTTTAAATCTTCGTCAGATGGCGCTTAAGGAGGTCCTTTCGCCGCCAATGTAAAATAAAAAATATTAGATTATGAGCAGTAAATTGAATTTTTTTCTAATAGTTAAGGTCCTTATTTATCTAATAGTGAGGTTTAAATTATACTTTACCGGACAAATTTTTGAAAAAATAAAATTTTTAAATGTTAGTATTTTTGTTCAGAGTCTTACGAGAAAGTCAAACGTTTGCAGTATTTCTCGAATTATACTATCAGTCATGGATTAGATGAAGTAAAAAAAAAAACTAAAAATTAGATTTTCGAAATATTGAGGTTTCTTTTTTTGCAATAAAATATATCAGTTACCGAGATATTTATTGAGAAATTAATATTTAAAAATCACAAAAAATTCTCAAGTATAACCTATCTACGTTAAAATGGAGTCAAAACATTTGGCAACGTTGCGTAGCGCGCGAGCTTCAGACCATTCAATAAATTCAAACTAATTTATTTATTTACACTGACTGCAAAAATTTAAATGTGGTTAAAGGTTATATTGTGCAAATGAAAATGTAAACAACCGAAGTACAGCGTTGCCAAATCACGGACAGGTTACTAGCAGTTGATTTGAAAGAGTCAAATTAATTTTTGTATTTAACTATTTTTTTTTTTTTTTATTTTCAAAATTTCAACGATTAATGCCTCATATACTATTTATTATTTAATTTTACGAATTTTTACGGGTTTCTTTTTTTTTAATTTATCGTATATTGACTACTACAATTGTTTTGACTCAACTGGAGCGAAAGGATTTCCTTAAAGGATCATTATCGCTATTATATTATAACGAATAAATTATAGAGAGTAGAAAGAACTTATATAATATATATATTCTATCGATTTTTGTATTCTTCTTATAGAAAAAAAATTAAAAATTAGCTTTAATGATATGAAATCTAATTAAGAAAATCTAAAAAATTTATTTTATTGAAACAAACCCAATAGTTTACAACATTAATAGAGTTAATAAATTACTTAAAATGACAAGATGAGTTTTTTTTTTTTTTTAACAAATATAAATAATGCTGTGAAGCGGGAAAGAATAGGAGTTACGGGAAATTATTACGTGAAGCGTTCCAACATTCACGTAACTGGATATTTTGGTAAGAAAGGATTGTGGAGAGGATCATCTTAATGTGAGTGTATAGAATATGTGAGAAAAAATTATTAGATAGCTCGGACTGGGATTCGAACCCAGAACCTTCCGAAGACATGTCGGCTACTCTACCATTTGAGCTATCCGGTCTATACTAAATTTCCTTTCACTTATTCTATATACATTAAGCCACACCGTCCATCTTACGGCTAGCATTTTTAACAAATATAAATAATGCTGTGAAGCGGGAAAAAATAGGAGTTACGGATAATTATTACGTGAAGCGTTCCAACATTTTTATTTGTAAAAAATAATTATTATTTAGGAACTATAAAAGTGGCCTTAACTCCTGATTAGATTTAGATAGATAGATAGATAGATAGATAGATAATAAATTTTATTTGATCCTGGAGTTCCTTCTAAGCTCCTTCAGGACCATCAACAATACATAAAGTTAATTATTTACAAGTATACATTTGATATATACAGCATTTGCAATACAATTTGAAAATCAACATTAATTAATAGCTATTATCTTAACTTATAAGATCAATGGTAATCATATTGATTGCAAGAAGAATAAATTAAAACAAGCTTGCTTAAAATTTTCAAAGGTGTCAATTTCTATAATATCTCCCGGTTAATGAATTCCAAATTCTTATGCCATGAATTATTAGGAAAGAATTTTCATAGATAGCAGAATTACTTCTCGGTAAACGCAGATAGTCATTCCTGACGTCACCTCTCCTCAATGCAATTTTGGCAAAAATTCTAATTTTGATCTAAACAATTGATTATAATTTAATTAATTTAATTTTTTTATAAAATATAGACAAGCTATGAAATAATTTCTTCTCGCGTTAAGTTTTAACCATCAGCCCAATTCTTTATAATATGGAGTAGTGTGCTCGAATCTCGAAATTTTGAAAATATACCTAATGCAAGAATTTATTTTACGCTGCAATCTATTCTGTAATTTGCTTGATATATTCGTGTAAGCAGCACAACAGTAATCGAAGATGGGAAAAATCAAAGTCATGACCAATTTTATGCGTAATTGTTCATTAAAAATTTCGTTATTGATTTTCAATTGCGCCAACGCAATTTTCATAGCACGATTGCATACACTTGCGACTTGATTTTACCATGTTAAAGTAAATAAAAAATTACCAGGATCCAATGATAAAAAATTCGTAATATTGCATTTAACGTGTAAACTTAACAAAGAAGCTGCTATTAATATACTCTCATTAATAAATATCAAGCTGATATTAACTTAGAAACAATTTAAAATTATGGAGCTCATCAACCAATTCATATATCGATTAATTGTTAAATGTATATGAATGGGGATTGTGAAACAACCCCTGATTAAACAAAATGATTTGAAATGATTAAAAAAGATTAATTTTTTAATCATTTTTAATCATACCAAATCATGTAAATCATTTTAGAAATTTCACAATTAATCATTATAAATCATTTCAAATACTGAGAAATTGACAGAATATAGAATGATTAATAATGATTAAAATTTTTTAATCATGTCGAATCATTTCTAATCATAAAAATACTCCGTGGATTTCTGTCACCTCTTATGATTTGAAATGATTCAGTTAGGATTAAAAATTTTTAATCATATGGAATCATTTCTAATCATAAAATAATCGTTGAATTTCTGACTTCTATAATGATTGAAAATTTTTAATCATGTCGAATCGTTTTTAATCATAATAAACTTTTGAAATTTTTGTCGATGAAATATGATTTAAAATGATTGCGTTAGGATTAAGAATTTTTAATCATGCCAAATCATTTCTTATCATAAAATTTCTGTAGCTGTAATGATTTAAAAGTATGAATTAATATTAAAAATTCAGAATATTGTTTCATATCACAAATATTTTTGAATGTCAAATAAGTCAAAAAACGCCCTTTATGGGGCTGTAACTCGGTGTCCATATTTAGATGCTTTTAAATTCACAAATTTTTGCATCTCTTTATAAATTATCTTGCTTAACTAAGAATGTTAAAATTAATAATGTTTCTGACATTAAATCGTACAATCTCCAATATGTCTCTTAGCAAGATCTATTTATTATAGCTAGCTAAGATAAAATAATATCATTTATTATAATTATGTTACAGTTTTTTTATTGTATTTTTCAATCTGTATTATCACTTATGTAACTTTTGTCTGTGGAAAAATAAAAATAAACTTTTCAAAAAAAAAAACTCGGTGTCCATGATCAATTGATTGTGGGCTTGAAAATCTTCTGTAGGGTCCACTCTACAATTTCCATGAGTGTCCTTTCTTAATCTTGAGTGGACACCGAGGATTAAATTTTTAAATGTCAAATTCTTGTGAAATAAGTCTAAATCAGCATTTTATGGGGCTGGTACTCGGTGTCCATGGGGTTGATCGATCGATGATGGACCTTAGTCCCTCGGCTGAAGAGGGAATCCCGTATGCACTTTTAGGTCCCCGGATTTTGATTAATGATATTTACGTATTTTTTGCCGAGGTTCGTGATAAACTAGGTTATTTTGGTCGCCGATGGTAAGTTTAATTGTTAATAACAATTTAATTGTTTATAACGATATAAATCAAGAAGGACTGATTTGACGGAGAAGTTTATTTGAAAAAAAAGTTTTAAAATTAAAAAACCAACAAAAAATGTCCTCATCATTTTTTTGATAAAATGAATATTTTCGGAGATAGCGCAAAAAACAACAAGTAGCGGTTGGACCTCTCTGTCGCGCGCACGCAACCCACGGATTCGACGAACGGCAGGCACAGAAAAATACAGAGACGAAAAAAAAATACCATTCTCGGTGTCAACTG